TTCAAACCATTGTAAAAGAATTTAATCTTGATTTTGTAAATGAGGACAGCCTGTATGAAGAGTTTTCTAGTGCAAAAAGTGTTCTGAATGTGGTAAAAACAGGACGTATAGAACAAAGTTGGTTCAATATTTTCAGTGATTTAAAAAACAAACAAATTGATGTGCCAAACCTTATTAAGATCTTAGGCTTTGTTTTAAGCATCCCAGGCTCAAATGCCCATACTGAAAGAATTTTTTCACTGAGGAGCAATAAATGGACTGATCAGAGAAATCAAAGCAGCTTAGAACTAATTAAGTCAGAGCTAATGGTAGCAATTAATTATGACTATAGTTGTAAAGAGTTTTTTAAATTTGCACAAGAAGATAAAAAAAAATTCTTAGTTCTGCAGCATCAGTGGACAAATACATATAGACTGACAGATTGGGTTTTTGGACTTTATCCATCGTCCTGGTTTTTAAGATAACTAATAAAAACACGATGTTTCGGAAACTGGATCTGTTTCCATCCTCAGGTGAAGGAAAACACCTATTCTGTTGGGTCCGTTAGAAAGAGCAATGCTAATTGGGTTGGCCGAGCATGCCATATGGGCCGCTTCCTTGTATTTCCTATACCTGATGTGGCTTTCAATATCCAAAATCTTAGCTTCATCCCAGCCTACCCTATGTCCCTCTTCATAGGCATGTTGGGCTAGTTTAGATTTTTCTAGAAGACCTTTTAGGTTATGCCTATGTTCCCAGAGGATAAAGTCCGAAAACCCAATCTATCAGTGTGTTATACACCATCGTCAGAATCCTATAGTAACTAAATACATATAGGTTAGGACTAAGAAACATACAAATTTGTAAAATTTATTCTATATTGTGACCTATATATTATATACAATGTAAATTAATTGTTTTGTTTAATATTATCCATTCCATGAAAGTTTGCTGGACTGACGCCGTGCCGCTAAAAATGCGCAAAATTTGTCGTGACTAAATCTCCCTTAAATTCATGACCGAAAGTTGGTCACCCTACTTACACGTGTGATTCACAGTCATCAGCTATGCACTTATTTGAACTTTAACATGTCAGTAATGGTTTGAAACCCTGACATGTCAAGAGTTTGTAGTATAAAGAATGATTTTAGCAAAAATAAACCTGTCACTCCACACACACAAAGGATTTTTGTATGCATTGAAGTAACATACATCAAATGCATGTGTCTTGCACTTGGAGGGCTGCATAACTCGTGCATATTTTGGGGAGAATTCCTTGCCCAAAGAGTTGATGAAGTGAGTTTGCAAGAGGATTTATGGAAATGCCTTAGTCATGGTAAATATGAATGTCCATTTGACACATTTGGTAAAGGACAAACTGAATGTACCTTACTGGGAATTAATTGGTAACAAAGGACAGCATGCTCATTTATTCGGAAGTTTTCTCTATCACATGCTTCTTTTTGCAGGAGGGGATATCTTCTTGAAAATGTATCTATATAGTGAAGGTCTATGATGTGAACACTTTTGTTCCACAGATATCAGTGTTAGAAGTGGAGATGTACTCTTAGAGAAATTTTGTGTGTTCACCTTTCTAATAAGGGCTCTTTTTTCCATCAGAAATATTGGTGGGCTCACTTAGCTGTACCACTTGCATTTAAACCTGATGGCTTCTTTCTGGACATTTTGACTAAGTGTAATGCACTGCACAGTCCTGAATAGGATGGGAACAGTCACCATGCTGCATTACTGATGCACGTGCAAGTCAGCGTATGAGCTGGCATATCACAGATCCATATCCATATGCAGTCTGAATTTGTTTTCATTTTATGTTTAAGACCTTTAATTTTTATCTGAAATTTCTGTAAGGGTGAAATAATGGTCTTTCTGATTCAGTCCTTTGCTTGAGGGCCCTGTAAGAACCCTAACAGTCTTTATGACAGTTACCTGTTCTTTGTTTTGCTTTTACCTTCATTCTGCCACTTTCACCTCCGTAAATCATTCTCTGTATCTTCCACCTATCTCAGTCAAGGCCTGTACATTTCTCTTTGACCTCATGGTTTGCTTACTAAGATTTCTTAGCAATAAAATCTAGGCTGTAACACCATATAAACACTAGCTAATCTGGAATAACTGAGGGGAGGGGTCATCAGGATAAAGTGATAATCTGGATTAATGAAGAGAAAGGTAGACCTAAAAGTAAAAAAAAAAAAACTTAGAACACAAACAAATGGAAAATTTAATTATACAGTCAACTCTCGATTATCTGGGGTGGATTAACCGGTTTGCGGCTTAACTGAGGCTTTTTTGAGGCTTATATGTTGTTTAATATTCATTCACTTTTGTTTCACATGGTGAGTTGTAACACGATTTTCGCACTAGTGTGAACCGAGCTCTGCATTCTTTGGTCCCGTTATCCTAACACAATGTTCTAGGGTAGGGGTGAAAGAATGCAAGGATTTGTGGAAAGTTTCAAGGAAAGATACATCGCCCCAGTTAGTTCCTATGTATAGATCTTCAGGTGCATTAGCAAAATGTCAGGGTGTAAAAGGAAGCGTGTTGTGTTAAGTATTCAACAGAAAAAGGAAAATACCGCGAAAAAGTAAATGACAATATTAAATTTTTTTAAGTGTTGAGTGTGAATATTCGTAAAAAGTGTTGGATGTTGTTGAAGACTGTGATTGAAATAACTAATTCATACTTCAGTGTAATGTAAAAAAAGTATTAAATAGGCCATGAGATGACATAAAAATGAGGTTGAATAAATTTAAATACAGGTATGCCTATACTATTATGAAGGTACAGTATTACAATACTACTTTTAATAAAATTTGTCTTAACCGGGTTTTCGATTAATTGTGATTTCCATCCCCACCATTATCCCGGATAATCAAGAGTTGACTGTATAAGTAGTTGCAGAAAATAAATAACAAAATATCACTTTTGAGCCTTTATTTAAAATCTATAAAAAGACAACGTTTTTATTCAAGACAAGACTCAGAGAAATTGTACTTTTTTGAACATCATAATGCAGGTTTGAAGAAACTGTCTCATGTTTTGTTTGATCAGACAAGTGACTCATCTGCCTTCCTAAATGCCATGTGTCTTTCAAAGTACGTACACATCTGTGGATGGCTTTTTTGATACAAATTATCAGACATTCGGATAAATTGTAACCGGATTAGCAAGGATTTACTGAACTTCAGTACAAGACAACCAGTGTTTCACAGGAATGAATTGAGTCCATCCTTAGTAAGGTAAGCAAGAAACCACCAACATGTAGGTGCCAAGGAGAGCAATGGCATTCTTCTGTAATGTTGGTGTACTTCTACCAAACTACACAACGCTAGAACAGAGAAAAATGTGTACTCCAACTCAATAAATTTTAATTCTATCCCAGACCTGTCTGAGGGCTGAGATAAGCTCCGATTAATGGATCCAATACATTTACTCAATAACAGAAGTAGAGCCATGATCCAAAACAAGTTTATGGAAAAAGTACAAATGTGTACCAGTTTAATAACATACTTTTATCACAGACCTTCAGAGTTTAACAACATCTCTGTTCATAACAAAGTCACCTAGAAAACACTGAATCTTTTACTTACCACATTCCAGCGCAGGATTCAGGATGTTTCCAGCGACTTCACAATAACTAACCAAACTGTATTGTTACTTTAATAATTCATATAATGATGACCATCAACTGTATTTTACTTACAATTATTTAGCCCAGTTATCAATATATAGATTTACATACACATAGGTCATTCAGAAAGTAAAAGACTGTTTGATGATTGAAAAAGAAATTAAAAACACTATTTTACATTATTACTACATATGTTGAATCAATTTTCTACATAATTCCCATGAAGATTCAGACACTTGTCATATTGTGTGATGAGTTTCTGTTTGCCTGTATTGTAGAGGTCTGCTGCCAGTCCACTGAACCAGCCTTTAACCATCTTCACTTCTTTATTGCTGCATGTGTGCATGGTGCCCCAGAACTGATTCAAGTGTGTGAACAGGTGAAAATCCCTTTGAGCCAGGTCTGGACTGTAGGATGGACGAAAACATCCCATGAAAGTGCTGTGCGCAAATGGTCTTTACTCTCTGGACAGTCCTCATATATAAAGGTTCCTGTGCTCAATTAATTAAGCACCACACCATAAAGATGTACTGGGAAGTGGAGGTATAGCTCCACCATTCTTGATCTCAGCACTAAATTCAGCTGAGTGGTGAGCTTCATGCCCTGGCTCCTTTACCCCTTGGGAACCGGGCCCCTGGTACCCATTGGATAAGGGGCTGGGTGAGCCCCAGAGACAGTCTGCATGCAGTGGGGGACAAATATCTCTTACCCCTGCCAGGAATCAAACCCGTGCCATCAAGCTTATAGCCTGTTACTATATCGACTCACCTATACCAGCTCTTACATGGCGTCTCAGGAATAAAGGTCACAGTATCAATCATTTTAAGCAAAAGAAGTGTACATGTACATACGTCCTATTCCAAATGGTTTCCAAGGTAGAGCTACTTCACTGTACACTGTACCAGTCATTCTAAGCAAAAGAAATGTACATGCACATGTGTCCTATTCCAAACGGTTTCCAAGGTAGAGCTACTTCGCTGTACATTGTACAGACGAGCAACATGTCATGTCCTCACATGAGTTGCACAGTGCACTGACGATGGTGAAATTTTCGAAAATGTATTATACTGTGTAAACTGTATCAACTTGGTCACTTGAACAATAAATACCAGTAGTTACTATAGGATTCTGACGATGGTGTATAACACACTGATATATTGGGTTTCTGGACTTTATCCATCGTCCTGGTTTTTAAGATAACAAAAACACGACGTTTCGGAAACTGGATCTGTTTCCGTCCTCAGGTGAAGGAAAAGGGAAACACCTATTCTGTTGGGTCCGTTAGAAAGAGCTAGCCTCAATCACTGGACCTTTACAGATGACTTGAGAAATTCCTCCAGGTGATTGATTTCATATAGTTGGGAAGTCTTCTTATGCCAATGATAGTGTAACCTAGCCCTAAGAAGTGCCTGGCTGGCACATAAGGCAATTTTGGAGGTCCGTCGACTATTGAAGGGCGTCTTTACAGAGAAGGCTTTGGGGATGATACCTTGAGATTTGCATCTCCTGAGGAAAGTTATATGATTGAGGGTTTTCGCTAACTGAATTTTCAGGCATTCTAATTTTCTAAAAGAAGGGTAAATACCGGGTCCATACTGGTTATACAAGTAGTTGCTATAGGATTCTGACGATGGTGTATAACACACTGATATATTGGGTTTCTGGACTTTATCCATCGTCCTGGTTTTTAAGATAAATAAAAACACGATGTTTCGGAAACTGGATCTGTTTCCATCCTCAGGTGAAGGAAAAGGGAAACACCTATTCTGTTGGGTCCGTTAGAAAGAGCTAGCCTCAATCACCTGAGGAAGGAAACAGATCCAGTTTCCGAAACGTCGTGTTTTTATTTGTTATCTTAAAAACCAGGACGATGGATAAAGTCCAGAAACCCAATATATCAGTGAATAAATACCAGTATCGAAAACGGTATGCAATACCTCTTTCTTATCAACAATTTTGGATCTTTACAGTGAAATAGCTCTATCTCAGACACTGTTCAGAATAGGACACATGTACATACATAATTTTTTGCTTAGAATGATCATTACTTTGACCTTTCCTCCTGGGACACCCTGTATGTAAAACCTTGATAACATATATGACTATTTGAATAAATCTCAATATAAAGTACTGGCTTGATTCTGTAATATGTGCATCACAACTGAATCATCTGTGACACCAGTGAAAGTAAAGTGTTAATTATGTTGCTTATGAGCCTTACTGCACAATGAAGAGCTTCATAACTTGTACTCTTCTCCAAGTATAATTAGAATGCTCAAGTCAAGGAGGATGAGGTGGGAAGGGCAGGTAGCACGAATGGGGGAGACGAGGAATGCATATAGCATATTGGTGGGAAAGCCAGAAGGAAAGAAACCTCTGGGAAGAACAATATTAAAATGGATCTTAGAGAGATATGATGGGATGCTATGGATTGGATTGATCTGGCTCAGGATAGGGACCAGTAGAGGGCTCTTGCAAACACAGTAATGAACCTTCAGGTTCCATAAAATACTGGGAAATTCTTGAGTGGCTGCAGAATTGGTGGCTCCTCCAGAAGGGCTCAGCTCCACGAGTAAGTAATGAGCCTAGCTTATAACAGTGTGTCAGCCAGGATCTCAATATTTAACACTGATCAGCATGTATTGGCTCGGTCCTGTCCATCCATTCAAATACAAATTCACATGCAATCCACAACATAAATCTGATTTACACAAACTCATCATCATCATCATCATCATCATCATCACTGGCACAGCTCTTTGTGAGCCCTGGCCTTCCTCAGGATTGCTCGCCATTCTTCTCCATTCGATGCTACATTCCTCCAGTTCTTTACACCCAAAATTCTTATGTCCTGCCACACACATTCTTCCAATCTCAATCTTGGTCTTCCCACTTTCCTATTTCCTTCTGGTTTAGTATTAAGTATTTTCTTCATCATTCTATTCTTGCTGGCACGTATTATGTGTCCAGCCCATTCAAGCCTTTTCACCTTTATAAATCCAATAATGTCTGGTTCATTAACACAAACTCATAATGTTTCTTAATTTTTGTATCTAAGTTTGTGGGCACTACATAAGGCGTGCAATGCTCACCTTTACTTCATCCCAGACATACTGAGGAGCACCAGCTGCAGATCAATTCCTAGATCACTTCTAAATCAAGGTGATGGTGTAAGATTAAATGATCTCACAGACAAGGTGCTGGCCAGGTATCTGGTCCCCCAATCCCAAGATTTTTGGAAAAGAGTAAAAGTTGGAAGAATATGAAAATATACAAAATAATAATGCCAAAAAAGAGTGTATTTAAACATATTTGAAAAAAATATCCTTCTATTCTGAATACTGTGGGAAAATCCATAGAAACATCTCATATGGCTTAAATGTAAGCCTGTAAACAAATTTTCTGTCCCCCCTCCAACTGTTTCCCTTTTGAAAGATTCCTGGTAGTGTTCCTGGAGAGTGTAGCCACTGCTTGAGGAATGTTCAGAATTCTGGTAGAATCCTGGACTGCACAGCCACTGACTGGGGGGTGTTCAGAAGCCTGGTATAATCCTCCCTTTTTTAGCAGCTTTCTTCAGTTTGTTGATTTTAACCTGTTTCTTACGTGCCTCTATATTTTCCATTCTCTTCTTTTGCTTTTCGTCTCGGCGATTCTTCATTCCTTCTGTTCTTGCATCCCATTTCCTTTTACTTTTTTGTTTTTGTTGTATTTCTTTCTTTATTGTCTTCTTCAGCAATTCAGGATTATCTTTAACCTTGACACCCTCAGACTTACTCAGTGCCCTATTCCATGCAATTTTCTCCCTAATTTCTGTGAGTTTTCCTATTTCGCCTGTAGCCTCCAAGTCTTTTAGCTTCTCATTTTGTTTTTCAATTTTTTTGAGCATTTTATGTGGGTCTCGTTCATCTCTCCCTTTCTTCTCCATTACTTCGTTTTTGTATCCTGACTCAGAGAAGTCAAATCTGCTGAATACCATCTTGCCTTCACTGTTGTAGATAGGTTTCAATGGTTTTGGCCTATTTACAAATTCTGAGCCATAATCTGGCTTTGTCCTACTTAAGTTCTTTCTTCCCTTTCGTTCATCCTTTTTTTGCTTCTTAATAACTTTGTTCTTTAATCCCTTCTTCAATAATTTGTCTCTATAACCCAACTTTTTACCTGGAAAATGCAAAAATTCATATTAATTCACAAGAAAATATTCTGTATCACTAGAAGTACTGTAGTAAGTTAAATAATATGTGAAGCGGCCTCCGTAGTCTAGAGGTAACGTTCCCACCTCATGACTCGTAGTATGCGGGTTCAAATACCCGGCGGAGGTCGTCGAATTTTTAAGGGCGGGAAAAATTCATGGAACAAGTCCTCCGGGAGGGACTTTAAGCTGTGGGTCCCGTGTCGTAGCTTTACGGCACGTAAAAGAACCTCGTATCTCCAAAGGAGGTCACCGAGCCAAATTAACGGACGTTTCCCGCCCAACAGCAGTCTCTAATACCTCTGGTAGATGGGGGAAGGATTATAGATACCTCTCAGCTAGTAGAGCTGGTCTCGCTGGCTGGGCGGGACTGATGGTAAGCACCAGTACCGGTAGGATATAGAGACTGGTAGAAATCATAGAGGGAAGCACAATGGACCAATACAGGTCTCAGTGCACGGGGAAACCCACCCTCTCCAATAACTAACTAAATAATGTGTGAAAAACATATATATACCACTTTTTCATATTCTTCACACACACTATTAAAATCCTTTACAGGGTTTCCAGTGTGTCTGTGTGATCATTCATATATAAACATGAACTTGAATTGGGTAGAATAAGACAAGAAGTCCATCAGAAAATAAATTCCCTCCACCCTTATTTTACATTTCTCATAAAAACATGTCATTGTAAGTGCAACTTCTGTAGCATCTCCAAGTAAAAAGTTACTAAAATTAATTCAGCATGACTGATACGCAGATAGCCCTCAATTTACAAAGATTAATATTACACAATATAAGTCACACAAACTCTCAGAATAAAGGAGATGACCCTTGGCTTGACTTGTCAACTGAACGTGAACTCACTTATCTGAAATCCCTTCCAAACAAAAATAACACATTGAAACAAAAACTAAAACAATGCAATGATGCCCAGTCCACCTTATGCTCTGATTTTTATCAACATCTATTACTAATCTGTGGCATGCAGTAGCATAGTTGGTTGAGGCACTATGCCACAATTGGGTTCAATTCCCAATGAGGTCATTGGATTTTTCAACTGACCTAATTCTTTCAGCTGCACTATGGCCCTGACGTCAACAAAGCCTCTAACAGAAATGAGTAATAGTATTCTTCTTCGGTGTAAAGGGTGGCCAGTGCATAAGGCTGAGAGCCTTATCACCAACTGTGAGCTGACTGTGAAGAAAATGTGGGAACCTCAACATCTCACAACCCTATCGGCATCCATGGCCTGTTACAGGTATATATTTACTTTTTTTTTTAACAGTTAAAAAAAAAGGTAAAGCTATCAGCCCGAGTATATAGAAGTGACAGTCCTCTGATGCAGACTAGGAGAAGTACTGGTAGTGGTGGGGAGAGCTCCAGCATGCCGACAAGTGTGGCGGGGAATGCAGTACAGGCATTCTCAAAAGGAAATAATTTCTTACCTCATTGTGTTGCATAGAGTTGGCGGTTTAGTCTTGATGATGTTCACACATCCGATGTTAAGTTTTAAGTGCTGAATGGCAGACTATTATGCACTATACACTACAAGTATTATACACTTTTCACTGTTATATACACGAAGAGTTTATTTACGTATTACACAGGTCTAGTCTAAAGGGGCAACACTCGCAATGTCCGCCACCAGATGAATCACTTTTCGTGAACTTTCTTCAGGCTGCTTTTCGACTATGTAGAAGTCGTTAATTCTTCACACCACAGACTCGTTAAAGTCGTCCAAAGTGGCTAGTGGAGATTTCCTAGGTCTTTCTTTATGGGGTGTTGAAAAGTAAGTGGAAGCCTCAGATTCAATATTTTTTGTTTCCCTTATTATTCTTCTGACACTACTTTCTGATACACCTGTTGCCTTTGCTACTTCCACTCCTATGTTCTTCACTGTAATTGTTGGCCCAGCCTCTTTCATATACTTATATACATTACTAACAATTTCTCTTGATTGTGAATGCAACACTTTTCCACTCAATTTACTTCGTGTAGGTGGCATGTTAAAGGAGATAGAAAAAATGTACAAATATAAATAAACAAAAAATCAACAAATAAAAATAAAATACTAATACAGTAAACAGAGAATAATACACTCAATTATGACTCTAAGAGTCAAACCTTTTTAACTTGACTGTACAAGGAAGAATGTTTTTAACTGAACTTGAGACATCTGCTCACACTGAAAACAAACGAATGACTAATCACAACACCCCTCAACTTTCACAAATGGACCTGCCCATCCACTGCGCAGCTTTTTCTGGACTGTCACTTCTAAATACCCGGGCTGTAAGAAGCTGTGGAGGCCCATAGGGTTGTGAGATGTTGAGGCTCACATTTTCTAGACAATCACCTCACAGATGGCGGTGAGGTTGTCAGCCTTACATGCCAGCAGGAAGATTTCTGGTACTCATTTCTGTTAGAGGGTGAGACATCCCTAGGGCCATAGTGCAGCTGGATGATTTAGGTCAATCAAAAATATCCAATGACCTCATTGGGAATCGAACCCATGACCTTAGTGCTTCAACAAACTATACTATTGCGTGCCCCATGTAACAAGAGTACATCAACATACTGATTACATCTTTCCCTGGGGATGTGATAAATGTTTACCGCAGTATATATAATATTCTGTCTAAATGTAACTAATGTATACGTTTTGAAACTGTAATTCTGAAAACAAAGAAAGAAGAAACAGCTTACCTCTCATTGCCTGTAACTTATCATGGAGTTCTTCCAAACTCTTGGCACGTGTTGCTCCTTTGCTCTGTGCCGCAAGCAGCTTCGCTGAAACACAATATTATGTTAATCTGTGGGAACTTCACCCGAGTTTCGGTATCATTAGCTGATGCCCTCATTGTATCTCCTACATGAACATCAAGCAATAGTGTTTTCATTTCATATTTTAACATCATCATCAGTAATCTGTCAAGATGACAGGTCCACAGTCTCTTCCAAAACAATTCCTCCACTTAATGCGATCTAGAGCTTTCTCCTTCAAATGACAGTATCCTCTTCTGCCCCAAGGTCATCCAGCATCTTCTTACGTCTTCCTCGTCTTCTTGTCACTTCTATCCGCCCCTCTATCTTTCCTTCAATAACTTCTTTTAGAAGGCAGTTTCTGCGTAAAACATAACCAATCCAATTAGCCGTTTTCTTATTTCGTGTAGGATATTCCTATGCTCACTGACTCTAATTAACACTTCTTCATTTCTCGCATAATCGGTCCAACTGATCTTCTCCATCCTCCAACAACACATTTCGAAACTTTCCAGATGTTTATGATCTACTGCCCTAAGTGTCCATGTTTCAGCCCCATACAGAGCTATGCTCCAAATGTAGCATTTCACTAGTTTCTTCCTCAAATTTAAGTCCAATTTGCTGGTAAAAAGATTCTTCTTCTTGCTAAATGCAGCTTTTACCATGGCAATCCTGGATTTAATTTCACTAGTACACCTTCCATCATCTGTTAATAAGCTACCCAAATATTTAAAACATTTCACATTCTCCAGTTGTTTTTGGTCTATCTTTATTGTGACTGGGGTTGGTTGATTTTTACATAACTCAACAAAATACAACAGAGATATCCAGAGGTCCCTTCTTCTGTTTCTGCAGTTATATGCCCCTTCCTATTGCTGAAAAGCGTACCGAGACTTGGTGACAACAGTACAAGGCTGGCTGAATGTGCAGTTTGCTACACAGATACATCAACCAGCTGCCTCTCTGACATACCATGCAATGTACAAGGCTGACTCAAATGAAAACCTTAAATTTGTAATAAAAAATCGAAATTTCATGCCATTATCCTGTAAGTTGGTAAGCATGCTACAAACAGCACACAGAATGGCCTGTAGATTTTCAGCATAGTGCAGATGCACGAACACCGTCACAGCACCAGTATAAGATGGCTGCCCCACTTGAGACTTGCACCAGGGAAGAACAGCGTTCTGTTATTCGGTTTTTGTGTAGTGAAGGTGTGAAACCTATTGAAATTTATCGAAGAATGAAGTTTCAATATGGCGATGCATGTTTGTCACAGCAGCAAGTGTACGAATGGAGTAGGAAGTTTGCAAATGGTGTGACTTCAGTGGAAGATGCTCCTCGTCTGGGTCAGGCACATCGAGTTGTGACTCCAGAGAACACTGCAGCAGTTGAAGCCACAGTGAGGGAAAACCGCCGAGTGACACTGAATGAAACTGCAGCAAGTTTAAACATTAGTCATGGTTCAGCACACCACATTGTGCATGATGTGCTCCAGTTTCACAAAGTGTCTGCAAGATGGGTGCCACGGCAGCTGACTCCTGAATTGAAAGACCAACATATTGATGCTTGTGAAGAACTTCTGCGGTGCTTTGAACGAGAAGGTGATGACTTCCTTGCAAGAATCATTACAATGGACGAAACCTGGGTTCACTTCCACCAACCAGAAACGAAGAGAGTGAGCAGGGAATGGCGCCATTCCTCATCTCCAAAACGAAAGGAGTTTCGAACATGACCATCAGCGGGGAAGGTTATGCTGACTCTCTTTTGGGACGAAAAAGGCATCATCTTGGAGCACTACATGCCTGGAGGGACAACTATCACCAGTGCATCATACTCAGATCTCCTAAAAAAAAAATCATCTTCGGCCTCCTGCAATCAAATCAAAGTGACGTGGACTGCTGACCACAGGTATCCTTTTGCAACATGACAATGCAAGGCCCCATACTACCCGTACAACAGCTGCGACAATCAGTGATCTACATTTTGAGTGTCTTCCTCATCTGGCATACTCACCAGACCTTGTCCCAAGTGATTTCCATAGGTTTGGACCACTCAAAGAAGCAATGGAAGGAAAGACGTCCTGTTCTGATGAAGAGGTACGCCACGCGGTGCATAAGTGGTTGCGCGGACTACCAAAAGAATTTTTTTCTAAAGGAATTCATGCACTTTGTGAGCGCTGGAGGACTTGCATTGAGCGTGGGGCAGATTATGTTGAAAAGTGATACAGCTTTGTGCCACTTGTGCACAATAAATCTCAAAAAAATATTTAAGGTTTTCATTTGACTCGCCTACGTATTTGCAAGTCAGTAATATGAGGATGTCATAAGATCAACCACAGACAAGATTTGAGGTCAGATGATGTAATGGGATCAAGTATTGGAGTCTGCAGGATGCAAGCACCATGGAACCTCTGCCATATTGGACAGTTGCACATTTAAGTGATATGATTTTGTGATGGTCAGTGAAGGCTATGCAGCATGCAGGGTGATGCACCATCCTGAACACATCTGTGAAGCTTATTCAGTCACTGATGCTTTTGAACAAGTGACACAAGAAGTGGCAGCTGAGGCAAGAGGACACCATGTTGAACACCCTGACAGACATCCTCACACTGAGGAACACGAGGGGCACCATTATAAACTTGCTAACCTCCACCACAGAGAAGGAAACATGATCTCACACCACATCATCACGAAGAACAATGGTTCAAACATACAAGCCGTAACTAAACAGCAGCTGAACAAATGGCATCACCCAAAGACTCTCATCTGAAGAAACTTCACCGAGAACAAAGCAACATCATGTTTATGCTGATTGTGGTGCACGATGTTCACGGTGTCATATTCTGCCATGCAGTCCCATAGCACCAAACTGTCAAGGCACAGTTTTCTACCAGGAGATCCAGGGTTATCACCCACATCAAGCAGCACCACAATGAAAATGGTTGTTCTACTGAACACATCCACCTGGACTGTTACATGACAACTGGAACCTGCTCATGAAAAATGAAGTAACCTTCAAGGAAAAGAGTCTGACCAGAGTGAAATCATCTGACCAATCAAACCACAGTAAAGGAATCTCTTGCAGGCATGAAGAAATACAAGTCTGCGATAATTACCATCTTCTGTAATGTGACACTGTGCAGTCTTGCATAAGTTTGCTTAGAGTTAAGAAAAACGTATTGCCTTCATCTCGCAAAAAACAGCCTGTTGATGGTATCCAACATATTTAATGACACTGTCAGTAGCTCAGGCTACACAGTGTCAGATGGCAGGATGATCGATGAATGAACTGCAAAGAATATGTGAGGAAATAGACATGGTATTATTTGAGGCACTATCCTGGCATTTCCTTGTGGGGGGGGGGAGACACTTGCTCATGAAATTTATCATCCTGGCTGAGCACCTCCCAGATTACCCCCATGTACCTACTTTTTCCACCGCATAGTATTCAGTGCTTTCCACAAGTGCAGAAGTACGTTATATGTACAACCAGGGATTACTGGTATATATGACTTATGCTGTCACTGTTTTCTGTCCAGATGTTTACTGTTTATACCTAAAATGCTGTCAACAGTAAACATTAGTGAAGTTCAAGATGATGTAACTATGGCAATGACCACAGAGATTAGTGTCTTCTAGGAAGTGACACTGTTTAGCCAGGTACATCATTACCCCTCTGCCCTCTACCTCTACATGGTGTCACATCACAGAGGACAGGAACCTCTGGTGACACTGTTCTATTTTACACAGTTTTTGTGGAAACTGATGGAAAATATTTGTGCCTGATCCATTAAATCTTTGATGAGCAAACCACACTAGTGCATTCGGCATCAGACATGCAGCACAAAGTATGATCACACTTTCTGGTAGTATGCAAAATGTGGATGTACAGCAAATCTTTGCTTTGATGTAAACTCGAAACTTATGAAACATACTGTCAGAGAAAAATAAAGGATAACATTTTCTAACTTTCAAAGAGTTAAACTGACCTTTCAAGTTTCTCGCACACATGCACACACACCAAAACAAATATACACACTTCTTTATCTTGCACAGTCAATACTGTTCTTTGTTGAGTTTAGCAGATTACAGGGCATCAAATAAAATTCCCTCATTGTTTCATCTATAACCTGCCTTGTCATGGCATGAATAAATTCAAATGAAGTTAATTATGAAGAATGACTGTATACTTAAAAATCTGAAACTCAATGCAAAGCAAGTTGACACAACATAATGAATTACAGAAATTACTGTGTCAGACTGCAGAAAGATGGTACAAGCAAAAAATTTGTTATGAATTCTAAATCTCAAGAGTTGCAATCTGTATTCCCAACAGAGCAGACAAAATACATTGTAAGATGAGGCACCGGCCAAACAACTAATGTCAAAACTATACTACATCTATACCACAGGCCTCCAAGCAGTTCATTACATGTATACAAATCTAGAACATACCATTATGTCCACAGATATATAACAACAAGATGAAAATAAAATGACTTCATAATATACAATATCACATGAAGAGTTTTTAACCATCTTTTATTCCATAACTTTCATTTTATAATTTATTGTATTTTTATACCTTGTATTTTATAATGTAACAGCTGTCAAGTATTCAGCTTTACTGTCACAATGAAATTGCAGTTCAATAGTGTGTGAATATAGTAATCATGTGTTTTGCCTGATGATGACTTTAAAAGCCAAAACATGTAGCTAAAATAATGTTGACTTTGACCATTATGTTGTTATGTTACGACGGACTCCAATAAAGAATTGTTTGTACACAATAACACAACAGGATGCATGAAATGAAAATTAACATTTGTACGTTAAAGGTTATTATTTATGATGAGTTGATGTTTATAAAGTGGTACACACCTTTCTTTTTGCTGTGAACACCAAAAGTTTTGTCAGAACTGCCTCTTACGATATCTGAAAAGAAATTATACTTCATTAACACTTGCCCATGATAGCACAACCATGATGAATATACAGATATTGGGTTTTCAGACTTTATCCATCATCCTGGTTTTTAAGATAACTGAGAAAAACACGACGTTTCGGAAACTGGATCTGTTTCCATCCTCAGGTGAGGGAAAAACACCTATTCTGTTGGGTCACTGGACGCTGATTGAGATATTGGGTTTTCGGACTTTATCCATCATCCTGGTTTTTAAGATAACTAAGAAAAACACGACATTTCAGAAACAGATCCATCTTCCAAAACGTTGTGTTTTTCTTAGTTATCTTAAAAACCAGGACGATGGATAAAGTCCGAAAACCCAACATCTCTGTGTGTTATACACCATCGTCAGAATCCTATAGTAACTACATGATTAATATACACACTGCCATGATTTTGAATGACTATAAACAAGCTTTGGATTGATGACCAGATTTATTGGACTCTTAGATACAGATTCATGACTACACTTTACAATTCACTATTACACAGACACACTGGTTTCAACAGTCACACCTTCACTAGCAGCTTCCAACAGTAGGTATTCCCCTTCCTCTGGGCTCCCGAACTATCCCTGGCCTCCGCTACCAGCTTCTCACAGCAATAGCTCATGGCTGGATCATAGCAGTTCTCTAACTCACTCACACAACCCACTCCACTACACTAATGAACTCAGCCAGAGTCAGAGTTGCTTTACTCGGTTATTGCCCTGCTTATAACATCTTGACATTGACCACACATAAAACACCATTCCTCTGTTGTTTGGGGTCGCTACCTAGCAATGGCCACTGTACAGTCATCTATCTTGGGGTTGCATCCAGCATCAGGTATACACGCCCCAGTATCATAACAATTAGAATCATTTCTTGCTAATAACCAAACAACTTACTTACTTACTTACTCACTCATGGAGCTGAGCCCTTTTGGAGGAGCTGCCAATTCTGCACCTACTCAAGAATTTCCCAGCATTTTATGGAACCCGAAGGTTCATTACCGTGTTCACAAGAGCCCTCCACGGGTCCCTATCCTGAACCAAACCAATCCAATCCAATCCATACCATCCCATTCTATCTCTCTAACATCCATTTTAATATTGTCTGCCCACCTACGCCTTGGTCTTCCCAGTGGTCTCTTTCCTACTGGCTATTCCACCAATATCCTATACGCATTCCTTGCCTCCCCTATTCGTGCTACATGCCCTGCCCACCTCATCCTCCTTGACTTTATCATTCTGATCATACTTGGAGAAGAGTAAAAGCTATGAAGCTCCTCATTATGCATTTTTCTCCAACCTCATGTCACTTCTTCTCTCTTTGGTCCAAATATTCTCTTCAATACCCTGTTCTCAAACACCCTCAGTCTATGTTCCTCCATTAATGTCAGAGACCAAGTTTCACACCCATACAGAACCACAGGCAAAATTATAGTTTTGTATATTCTAATTTTTATGTTTTTGGACAGCAGATGAGAAGACAAAAGGTTCTGGACTGACAAACAACAGGAATATTAATAGCTGAAGCCTGGAAATCATCTACATCAACACTTAGAAATTCTGCCCCTGCCTCATAAAGAACAAACTGAGTCTCCATCACAAAGACTTGTCAATTAAAACTCTTTAAGGAAATAATCACTTGTCATTCTGAGAGCCATATGAAACACATAAATACACTCTGTACGCTGTTAAACCAGGTAGTACATATCATAACCACTGTGCTTTGAAAGGTCAACTGCCACTTGTGTGAATTTCTTTAAGCCACAGTTCACAAACTTCAGAGATGAACTACAAAACCAAGTGAGGTCTTTGGAACATGACAGACATACTGCAAAGAACTAAACAAGATGCCTCAGCACTGCTTGTAATTTTACATTTGCCACAATAGTATTTTTAATATGAGCACCATATTTCAACATCCTATTAGAAACATGACACAGTAAGCAATTAAACTAATCTTGTTGTTCTCAGATTACTAAAACATCCTTCTCTCTCTACCTCTACAGGCTCCCACACTAATTTCCTTGATAGCCCAAGCTTATTCCTCCTTGCTGTTCACTCTCATTCCTATCAATGGTGCTTTGTAGAAGTACAATTGTATTTCTGCATCAATTTCAGCACTTTGTATGGTCACCACTACAATTCCAACTGATACACCTACTACTTAATTTAGCACAATATTTGATCCGAAGTTCAGCTTAAAATTGGCAGCTCCAATAGCAACAAAACACTTGCTACCAGTCGACTAGTGCCAATATTCTCTGCATGTGGGAAATTTAAGTGATACAAATTCTAACCCTCTACCAAAGAATTTCATCCTCTTTTGTAAGCAACAAACACGATGGGCACAGGCACCCAGTCAGCCGTCAGGGGAAATACTGCAGTACTAGTAATTCCTTTCATGTCCTTGTTGGACTGAGCACTATTCCTTACGTGTCACGAAAGTTTTGTATCTATTGACTGACTGCACATTGCCGAAGTTTGACCTGCAGTTGGTTATATATGCACCATTCCATTAGTAACATTCGCGAGTTTGACACACCTATGCTGACCTTAACGCCACTTGTACCACATATAAATGATACAGTTAACTGCTGGTCCGTCATTAAAGCTTTTAGGGGGAATGACTCGCTGTCTATGCAGCTTGGAAAAACTCATTAATCTACGTTCAAAGTAATACATAAAGCGATACACGAAGAGCTTCGTGGACACCAACTGGAAGAGTGTATATTTTACCTGAATCGTTATTCCCTGGAACAGGGAAGTTCTGCTTATCCAATAATTCTGTTATAAACTTGCTTTCTCCCAACAGTAAGTCACGGGCTGTTTTTATATCGAATTTATGTATCGCTGATTTTTCACGTTTACCGGTTTTTGTTTTCATTGTTCCAACTTAACCTCCTACTTTCAAAATACACTATTTTCGGACTTCCAAGTTTATAGACTTCAGCACATGCAACAGCCCACAATTTTTGTTTCTTATTTTTGCTCGGAGGTACCAACCGTACCAGCCGTACCAACCATGGCTCACCAACAGACAATCAGAAGTCCATAATATGGATTGAATATACTTTTTAATATACAGAGAGTGTGAATCATAGATTATTACTGGACTGATACACCATTTTTAACAATTCCTACAGTGTATTATTACATTTGGAGCAGTTACAATTCGGAAATTTATCTTTTATATTCTCAGAATTCATCATCGCCAGTGCGCGTTACGCGTGTGCAGTGGCGCCCCCTGTTCGCTATGTTTCCTTGTGAAGGTTAAGGATGTTATGTTCGTAAGTGGGTGGGGAAGAAAAAATTAATGGGGCGTTGCGGGTCTTAGGGTTTTAGGATTACGGGATGTTAGTGGTTGTGTAGATTTCTGTGGTGTAGTGCTTGTTAGCCAAATGGCGTGGAAAAGTAATTTTCGTGTTACTGCATTAGCAACTGCCGGACTTATAGGCTTTTTTACTGGTAATTTTACCGAGAGATGGAAATTGACGCAAAATGCATGGAAGTGTCTACACGTTAATCAAAATGATGAAGACGACTTATTACATGAAATAAGAAGAATGCCAGGACTACCAATTTTTGGTACAGTTTCGGCAGCTTCTCCAGGAAACAAACCCTCAATTACGGAAAAGGAGTTAGTTCCTTTGGAATCTTCTCCTGTTCCAAGTAAATCCATCAGAGTGTCGGAGGTTCAGTGCATCTAAGTTTAGATTTAATTTTTTTACTGAAAAATGTGGATCATATTCTTAAATGTGCGGTCGTGGCGAATTAAAATTTATTCACATATATCATACATTTTTCTTTCAGATAATGAAATATGGTTTCCCAGGCCTGGACACTGTACGATCATTTGATGATTATGTGCTGTCATATGACCGCAGAAATAGAGTTCCACATTGGGTTTTTGAACACCTCACAAAAGAGTCTTTGGTATACAATGAATCTGTTGATCGGTCTAAATGTGAATTCACTGAAGATGCATCAATGCATCCTTATTTCAGGTATGGATAACATCAGTTTTCTCACAACACATGCAAAGGCATGTAAGGCACATACAGCTTTTCATTCATTCATTCATTCATGTTTATTCATCCTGTAGATCAGATTACATTGATATAGGACATGTCACATAATATAAATTATAAAATTAACAAAATACAGTAGATTCTAAGCCAGTAAACACTCAAGATATGTAATGACTACTTACATCTAGCATGTATCGCAATCTAATATATCACAGTCCATCCATACATTCATACATTCAACATTCACTATCCATAGATCAGACCACACAGGTGTAGAACATGACACAAGTAATAAATTATAAAATTAGCAAGGTGCGAGAATTCATAACAAATAAAATCACAAAATATGTAATGACTATCATATCTAGCATATATCAATATGCAGCATAACAAAATTTATCCAAACATTCATTCACTCAAATAAATTATAAAATCAGCAAGATACAATAAGATCAAAACCAATAAACTCGCAAATATGCAATGAGTATTCACATCAAACACGCAACAATTCCAACAATTCAGAATTATCTATACATTAATCAATTCATATTTACCCATATCACAGATCAGACTACATTAAAATAGGACATATCTCATGATACGAGTTGTAAAACCAACAAAATTACAACAAATTATAAACCAACAGATTCACAAAATATGTAATGCAATATCACATGCTGAATCAAAGTTTAATTACAGCTTTTAATAATAAAAGATTTTCATATTATATTCCACCAGTTATAGGGGTCTGAAAGCGCTCTGTTAGCCAGAACAGAGCGTTCGTCACTGCCTGCCATGGTTAAGGTAACCAATTTAACTTCCAACCAGTGCCTAAGTGTTCTTATTTATATTTTCCCTTAATTCCTGACTCTGTCAGAATGCCATGTTGCAGTAAGCCATGAATACTACCATACTTCTATATCTGATTCTGTACCATACAAGTAAACTCAGCAGTTGATGAAGCAGCTTAATATCCAACCAAATATGGACCTAATAAGTAAACTTTCATGATTTTATGTACCACACTTATGAAAATGAGGCAAAGATATCTTGTGGTAAGCAGGTAAAAGTAAAGGTAAAGGTAGGAAAAAAAAGTAAAATTGTCCTTGAACTAACTAATTTCATGGAGATGAGCCGTCCCTGAAATGCTGCCAGTTGTGTAGCTGCTCAAGAGCTTCCCAGCATTTTATGGAACCTGAAAGTTCATTACCATGTTCACAAGAGCCCTCCACTGGCCCCTATCCTGTGCCAGATCAATCCAGCCCATACAGTCTTCCTAGTGGTCTTTTTCCTTCTGGACTTCCCACCAAAATCCTGCGCATTCCTCTTCTACAGGTCGTGGTACATGCCCTGCCCATCTCATCCTCCTTGACTTGATCATTCTAGTTATACTTGGTAAGAAGTAGAAGTAATGAAGTTTCTCATTGTGCAGTTTTCTCCAATGTCCTGTCACTTCATCTCTCTTTGGTCCATATATTCTCCTCAGCACCCTGTTCACAAAATCCCCTTGTTCACTTCCTCCCTTAATGTCAGAGACCAAGTTTCACACCCATACAGAACCACAGGTAAATTTGTTGTTTTGTATATTCTGGTTTTTATGTTTTTAGACAGCAGACGAGAAGACAAGGTTTTGGACTGAATGCTACCAAGTATTTTTTTCGCATAGTGGGGGTGGAGTTCAGCTGGGTCCACTTGGCACGCTGTCACTGCTTGACCTATTGTACCTTCCCTGGGTGATTATGATGATGGAGAATTTGGTGGAATGAAGATTGACAAGGGAAACCGAAGTACTCTGAGAGAACCTACCACAGTGCCACTTTGTCCCCCACAAATCCCACTTGACCAGCCCCGTGTTTGAACCCTGGCCACCACAGTGTGAAGGCAGCGACTAACCGCTTGAGCTATGGCACTGCTTTTGTCAAGCATTACCCGAGTTCTTAATTTCCTCCTGAATCAGGTTTTGATTTGTTATCGTTGTTACCAAGTATCTGAACTGTGCCAAATTTTCAAAACATCTGTTACCTACCTTTATGTCCTGATATTGCCATGCATTGTGTTTATATGACAGCAACATATACTTCGTTTTCTCTGTATTTGCTTCTAGACCAGCCTCCTTACTAGCATTAATTAAAGTCTGTGTTTTTCTTTACAATATCTATATTACCACCCAGTAGATTCACATTATCAGCATAGACCAACGGCTGATGTGTCCCATTCAATATCAGTCCCACCTGGTTTTCCTGGGGGCACGTGGTAGCGTAGTTGTTTGATGCACTATGCTATAAGCCAGAAGGTTGTGGGTTCAAGTCCTGATGAGGTGGATTTTTCTCAATTGACCTAATCCTTCCAGCTGCACTATGGCCCTGGGGTTGACTCAGCCTCTAACAGAAATGAGTACCAGGGATCTTCCTGGGGCTTGAAGGATGGCCGGCACATAAGGCTGACAACCTTACTGCTATCTGTGAGTTGATTGTCTAGATAATGTGGGATCCTCAACGTCTCACAAACCTATGGGCCTCCATGGCCTGTTACAGGAATGATAGCTTTACATATACCTGGTTTTCCTGGACCTTTCTAATGGCATATTCTAAAGCAATTGAGCACCATGTCATGAAGCTGTGTTAGGGAGTGGAGGCATAGATCCACCATTCTTAACCTCAGCACTAGATGGAGGTGAGTGGTCACCATCATGTCCCTACCACTATAACCCCAGGGAAAGAGCCCTCGGTACCCATTGGATAGGAGCCTGGGTTGGCCCCTTGGTTGGTCTTGATGCTGCTGAGTAGAGAAAAATCTGTTGTCCCTGCAGGGAATTGAACGCTAGCTGTCAAGCTGTTGCTATACCGACTGATCCATCCCAGCTCCACAGAATATCTGAGAAAAGAAATATAACCACAATAATGAGCCATCCATTGTATATATTGTCTTTAGGGCCCTTAACTCAGACTATCGAGGGAGTGGATTTGACCGGGGTCACATGGCAGCTGCTGGTAATCATCGTCTATGTCAGAAACATGTGGATCAAACATTTCTTCTTTCCAATATGGCTCCCCAAGTTGGGGTTGGTTTCAACAGACACTCATGGAACAGGCTGGAGAAATATGTCCGTAAAATGACCAGAACATACAAGAATGTATATGTATGTACTGGTCCATTGTACTTGCCAAGGTAGGACATCACTGTGATCTCTAGAGCAGTGCTTCTCAACTGCCGGGCCGCGGCCCAGTAGTGGGCCCTGACATCAGTTATACTGGGCCGCAAGAGGCTCTTCTGGAATTTGTTATTTTCATTTTCTAAGCATTTTTCATGAATAAATATTTTATAGTGGAAATATTCTGAGGAGAATAATATTTGTGTCAAGAAGCTTAGACACAGAACTCCTAAATCTGTGTAGCAAATGTCAGTGACCAGGCCGCATATTTTTAAACATGGAAGCATTCGTGAATGATTGGGAATTTTCAGACATTCAGATCTTTCAACATACGGGAAAGGCAATACCGGTGTTTGTGGCCAGTCATAAAAATTGCCTGCAAGCTGATTACAACAATGGGCGGCATATCCTCTGTTCTCAGAACTGAGTGAAATAACATCTATGTTGCAAATGTCAGTGACCAATCAGCAAGGAAGTATAAAGAAAATGTTTCCATTGAAATTGAAGATCAAGGCAGTCTGTATCCAGTTCTCAAATCTAGTAATACTGAATACTGTTTCTTCGCAAGTTCGCATGCTGTGTGTAAGTGCTTGTTTCGAAACCTGAGTGATTTAAATTTTAATATGAATAAGAGACAGGGGACTTTGTTTAATTTTGGTGTTAAGAAATCTTGTATTGAAGGTGTTTGTGATGCAACAAGTAGTGATTCATCCACCTCAAGCCTACATAGCAATCTCCAGGTGTACAAAATGAAGGGAAAACCACCAGCACACAGAAGAAAAAGTCTGCATCCATTCGTAAGTACATGGACAGCTACTTAAAATTTGGTTTCATACAGTGCCCTAACACTGACCAATTGCCATGACCTCAATGTGTCATTTGTGCTACTGTTCTGGGAAATGAAGCTATGAAGCCATCGCGACTTACCCGACATCTCAACACAAGACATTCCGATCTAGTCAACAAACCCATTGAATTCTTTATGCATGAAAGAGATGCACTTAAAGTAGAAAAAAAAATTATTTACCAAGCTTCAACCAATGACACTTCACTTCTTACGGCATCCTATTTAATATCACTACAGATAGCTAAATGTAAAAAAACCATATTCCATTGGGGAAGAACTCATTAAGCCTTCTTTGATTGCTGCTTGTAATGAAGTATTAGGCCAGTCTGCGGCAAGTAAAATGAAAGACATCCCACTGTCGAATGATACATTTGGTAGGCGGATATCTGATATGGCAGAAGATACAGAATCGCAAGTCATTGAAAAAATTAAAAAATCGAAATTGTTTGCATTACAACTGGACGAAACTACAGATATTCAGAACAGCAGCATTTTACTTACATATGTACGATATATTGACCTTGATGAGAGTGACATGAAGGAAGACATTTTAAGTGTTTCTGAATTACCTACGCACACTACCAGTAGTGAAATTTTCAAAGTTTTAAATGGTTTCATTGAAGAGAGGGGTCTTGAATGGAAAAATTGCATTGGAGTTTGCACTGATGGCGCTGCCTGTCTTACAGGTAGAAATTCAGGTTTGGTCTCTAAAATTAAGGATATGGCGGGCAATAACTCAGTGTCAACGCATTGCTAAATTCATAGGCAAAACCTGGCCTCCAAAAAAATGGCACCTGAGCTTAATGAAGTCCTGTCTCAATTTGTTAAGAGTATTAATTATATAAGAAACAGTGCTTTAAATACAAGACTGTTAAAAGCATTGTGCGATGAAATGGGCTCTGATCATCAAAATCTTCTTTTCCATTCGGAAGTTCATTGGTTGTCACACGGTAAAGTTCTCAAGAGCTTATATGAACTGCAAAAGGAAGTTGAGCTCTTTCTAACTGATAAGAAAAGTAACCTGTCCCATTATTTCCAGGATAAGAAATGGGTAGCCAGGCTGGCATATCTCAGCGACATATTTTCTTACATGAACGAGTTGAATTTAAAACTTCAAGGTCCAGATACAACAATATTTAATGCGTGGAACAAGATCGAATCATTCAAGAAGAAACTCAAACTCTGGCTTAATATGATTGCAGAAGGAAACAGTGAAATGTTTCAGTCGTACTCAGATTATATTATGGAAGCAGATGATTTCTATTCACAGAATTCAGTTTCAGATATTATTGCAGCCCACTTGAAGATGATGATGATGATGTTTAAAATATTATCCCAAACATGAGGCTCCCCGGAGGCAAAATATGTGGATTGTGAACCCTTTTGTTGAACACAAAGAGACAGCCCTTTCCCATGAAGAAACCCTTTAACTTATTGAATTATCATCGGACAAAGGACTGGAAAGTACTTTTAATACTACGAGTATTCCTGGATAAGAATGAAAAATGAATATCCAGATTTACATGAAATAGCAGTGAGGTTTCTTCTTTGTTTTTCCACCACATATCTTTGTGAAACTGCATTTTCTGCCATGACTGTGCTTAAAACGAAACAGAGGAACTGCTTGCAATTTTCTGACTGTCTCCATTTCGCTGTCACTTCAATTCATCCCAGAATTAATAAGCTAATGGACGGAAAACAGAAGTCTCATTAGCCTAACCAAAACCTTCCAAACTCAGTTGTGATAAAAGAAACTAAGTTTAACTTCCAATAACTTATAATTGATGTGTTAAAGTGCTGCGTCTTTAAAATCAAAATCTTAATTAGTTCTGGAAGTAGTGTTTAGAATTGAGAGATTCATACATTTTTATGTATCAAATTACATACTTTACATATATAATTATTTGGCGTGTGTATGTGATGATAAGTGTTTCGCCGGCAAGTTGACATCTTTCTGCTTCTTCCCCTACGCAAATGACTTCTATGGTGAGTTACAATGCATGAATATTTTTCTCACTGCCATTTTTTTTTCAAACCAACATCATTAAAATCAATTTAATAATACAGCTTTAGTACTTAGAGCTGACAGTCCTCCGACATGGAGTAGGAGAAGTATTGGTAGTGGCGGGGAGACCTCCAGCATGCCGACAAGTGTGGTGGGGAATGCTGTACAGGCGTTCTGAAAAGGAAATAACTTCTTACCTCATTGTGTTGCATAGTGATGGTGGTTTATTTTGTGTTGATGTTCACACATCTGATGTTAAGTTTTAAGTGCCGAGTGGCAGACTATTATGCACTATACTCGTACACTGTTATACACTTTTCACTGTTATATACATGAAAAGTTTATTTACATATTACACGGGTCTATTCTAAAGGGGAAACACCAGCAATGTCCGCATAGATATCATCTCCACATGCCTATCCTACCTCATCACCACCAGATGAATTGGAGCTATCATCAGAACTGTCATCACTATCACCGCCAACATGGAAGACGAACTCCTGTCCTGCGTCCGAAAGGCCTTCCCATGCCATTAATTGTTGCTCAGTGTTCCTTACATGTTGGCACCTACGTTGTCATTCTTCTGCAGTCATGGAAGCCAATTTTTGGTCTGCCAGTTTAATGACGTCATCCATCTTAAATATGGTATTGTTTTGAGCAACCCAGTTTTTTACGGTGTCCCATATTAACTCAGTTGGGTTGAGCTCTGGGTGATACGGAGAGAGTCGTAAAATATTGTGATTGTGTTCTGCAAAGATTCCATCTATTTTATAGGAAAGGTATTTCGGTTTGAGCGGTATGATCATATTACGAGATATGTCTGGATTCCGCAATGATGAAAAATCACTGTTATGGAAGGTAATAGGTGGAAGGTGATATTTTAGTCAGGATATCATAAAATCTCTTCTTGAATTTGCGTTAGGAGCTTTGTTTAGTAGTACATTATGATAGGGAGCACTGTTATGGAAGGTAATATTTTAGCAAGGATATCACAAAATCTCTTCTTGAATTTGAGTTAGGGGCTCTGTTTAATTGTACATTATGATAGGGAGCATTATCAATGACAAGGACAGAATTTGGGGGAAGGTTAGAAATAAGTCGCTCTTTTAACCATTTTTCATAATTGGTGTTGTCCATGTCACTGTGGTAATTTTCTTTTATGTGGAGATGCATCCCTGAAAATCTAACGTTTTCTTCAAGTTTTCGTGAACTTTTATCAGGGTAGATCTCCGTTTTTTGAGTATGTAGAAGTCATTATTTTTTCTTCGCACCACAGACTCGTTAAAGTCGTCCAAAGTGGCTAGTGGAAATTTCCTAGGTATTTCTTTATGGGGTGTCAAAAGGGAAGTGGAAGCCCCAGGTTCGATATTTTTTGTTTCTCTTATTATTCTTCTGACACTACTGTCCGATACACCTGTTGCCTTTGCTACTTCCACTCCTATGTTCTTCACTGTAATTGTTGGCCCAGCCTGTTTCATATACTTATACAGGGTGATTCACGAAGTTTTACCCCCACCTAGGGAGGGCATTCCTGAGGTAATTTGGAACAAAAAATGTTAATATACTAATGGCATCCATCTCATAATTAAAGAGATACAGTAATTTGAAAACTGGCGAAAAATCTTTTTTCTTTGAATTTCAGTCAAAACAAATTAGAAATACAATACAAACACTTTTTAAATCGTTAATGTTTTAAGAAAGAAGCATTCTAAAACCAATTTTTTTCCAATTTCTTAATTTTGCATTGTGCAACATTTTTCATCGATTTTGTGTTACAAAATTACATTATTTTCAGCATCCCAATCTGTAAACATACCAATGGTTGCATATCACACCCTTCCATCAATCTGTTTTCTTTAAACTATAGTGCTTTAGAAGACGACTGGATGTACGTAAGATTTTCAAAAATGTCTCCCTGCACGTCAACACAATGCGTCGCACGTGTATGAACCGCTCTGCCTATCTACCTATGCGCAACATTCAAACCAGTCTACCTTATCTGCTGACATAGCTGACTGGAACGTATGGTCACCAACGCTGAAGCATAGCGCTGCATTCACAATGATGCGTTTCGAAAATCTATTGTTACTCCATAACTATTTAAAATCGACCACAAGTTTATAAGGAAATTTTGCAGGAAATAACCCCAGGAATATGTACCATAAGCCGGGGTAAAACTTCATGAATCACCCTGTATACATTACTAACCATTTCTCTTGATTGTGAATGCAACACTTTTCCACTCAATTTACTTTGTGTAGGTGGCATGTTAAAGGAGACAGAAAAAATGTAGAAATATAAATAAACAAAAAAGAAAATCAACGAATAAAAATAAGCAATAAAATAAAATATTAATAGAGTAAATAGAGAATAATAACTCAAATATGACTCCAAGAGTCAAAACTTTTTAACTTGACTGTACAAGGAAGAATGCTCTTGAGACGTCTGCTCGCACTAAATGCAGACGAATGACTAATCACAACACCCCTCAACTTTCACAAATGGACCTGCCCATCCACTGCGCAGCTTTTCCTGGACTGTCACCTCTAAATACTAGAACTTTACAATAATATATTTTACGCTGAATAACATAAGTTTTTGGTGATCAGCATGGGATATGTCAATGAAAATTAGCACAAATTAATTTAATGATGTTGGTCTGAGGAAACTACAAAATGCTACAAGATTTCATTAGTCCAGTGATTGATAACTAATTTAAATGTAATTTTATGTTTGTCACCATGCCACACCGTAGACATAAGTGTACTAGTACGCTTTATGATTTGGTATAATTAATTACTAATATTACGTTAGCTTAATGCATGAACTTTAACAAAACTGGAAAGGTATTTACGAGTAAATTTGTTGGGACTGGGCCCTCGTCTTATAAAAAAAGAACTTACTGGGCCGTGGTCTCATAAAGGTTGAGAACCACTGCTCTAGAGAACCAGTGTTGCTGTTGCTTTAGCCATAAAATTTATTAATTTATATTTAAGGTATCCTTTTGTAATGTGGGATAGTCAGTCAGATGTTGATTTCTTTCTGTGAAGCCTTGGGTTGTATGCCAAGGCAGTGCATAAGAAGTTTTGGCAGACGAGTGATACTGAAGCTATTCTGTGCATACATGAGTTTCCTTCTGCCAATATTCATTATTCGTGTTCTTCTCAATAATGCATGTGGATATGTCTTGAATACACCCACAGAGAATTTTTATGGTTTATTTAATGGTGCTTTCAATATAAAGATTGTATAGTGTCAGATGGTTGGTGAATTGGAAAGGATCTGGAAGCAGGCACAGTCTCTCAGAGGGACTGTTCTAGCGCATGCCTGCAGGCACATAATCAATAACCCAGCTGAGATTCGAACTGAGCATGTCCCAAACAGACCATCATGCTTGGCTCTACAGAGAGCTGTACAGTAAAAAAACAAACAAAAACTCCATGATTTCAGTCTGGAATCGAACCATACCAACTGAGCGACCGCCACTTGTCGGCGAAGTTTAGTGCCAACTTTCTGGAATGGGGTCCACTCAGACTTGTGATGATAATTGAGGAGCTGTTTCAAGGAAACAGTCTAGAAAACCGAAATTAACGGTTGTGGGGATTTGTTGCACTGACCACGCGACACCCTCTATCTGCAAACGTTGGCTGTACAGTAAACACTCACTAATTTGGATCAAAATATGAAAAATGTTGTCCACAGTTTAGTGCATACTTTAAAAGACATGTAGCATTTATTTTCATCACCAGTATATACAGTATATATACACACATTATATATATATATATAATCTCATGAAATTTTCCATTTATTTGTGTTCTAAGTTTTTGTGGCCTTCAGGGCTACCTTCTGCTTCACTAATCTGGAATATCATTTAATCCAGGTGGTCTCTCTCCCCAAATACTCCAGATTAGCAAGCATTTACTATTGTATCTATCAAGATTATACAGTCATCCCTCACTGACCAATGATTCTATCTATTGACACTGCTACAGTGTGTCCAAATGATCATTATTCCATGGTCAGTCAACAGTCACAAATGCACGCACATTGACAGCGTTTACACCCTTAGTCACATTGGCCTTCCTATTCTGGTGTAACTTGGTAATGCAATCCAATCAGCATTCACCATTTTAATCACATTTTGTAAGATCTTGAATAAAATTAGTGAAATTATGGGTCCTGCAGTGAAAAGCAATATCAAAATTGGGTTCACTAACAAATCACTAATTGGATTTGAGGTTTGCTTGGCATATTTTTTGACCCTGAAGATGGAGGTGATATGTTTCTCTGAAACGTCAGTTGACTTTCAGAAGACCATATAGCATTATATCCCACAAGATAGTACTCTTCGATCACTATTCAATGTTTCATGGAATGAACTAGCGTTGACTGCAGTCTTCCCATACTTCTGTTCAATTTGGTATGGGAGGCACCAGGTTCCTATATACAGTACTACATGGTGTCATGTACCAGAAGTCAATAATATTGATATTCATTGCTATAAGAACCTCAGATCTCATAGCATATACACATATAATTTGTGATTCCTATAGGAAAGAGAGTGATGGGAAAATGTACATCAGATACCAGGTTCTAGGAGCAAATTCTGTGGCTGTGCCAACACATTTCTTCAAAGTAATAGTTGCAGAGACTGCTGACCAAAAGCTGGACATGGAAGCATATGTAATGCCCAATCAAGTTATAGATGACAAGACACCTCTGACTGCGTTTCAGGTAGGTTGCAAAGAAGTAATGATTGCAAAAACACAAACGTGTCCCTGTGCTGAACTAATTAGAGACCATGCCATGAAGACTTATGGGGTAGTGGAGGTATATCTCCACCATTCTTGATGGGAGTGAGTGGCCTGGCTGCTTTACCCCCAGGGAAACAGTTCCTGATACCCATTGGATGGGACACTGGGTGGGCCCCACAACCCATCACTATGCCGATTGAGCTATCCTGGCACCTTGAAGTTTTCTCATTGTGAGCAAGTAAATAAGGGAACACTGTTACGCGTCATGCCAGACCTTTGTAAATAACATGAGAATGTACTTTATGATAATGGTAAAAAGAAAGGTAAAGCTCTCCCTGCAACAGGCCATGGAGGCCCTTAGGGTTGAGAGATGTCAAGAGGCTCCCACACTTTCTCTAGACAGTCAATTCACAGGTGGCAGCGAGGTCAGCCTCATGCACTGGGCACCCAGGAGGATTCATGGTACTCATTTCTGTTAAAGACAGAGTCGACCCCAGGGCTATAGTGTGGCTGGAAGGATTAGGTCAATTGAAAAATCCAGTGACCTCACTGGGAATTGAATCCACAGCCTTCCAGCTTGCAGCATAATGCCTCAACCAACTATGCTATATGTTTAAATGTGTTATTTTCATAACTACTTCAGATGACAGCCATGAGACTGTGAACACCGATCCATTATTTTATGCACTTCAAAGTTCTGTGTACTTGAAACTGAAATATATGTTTAGTTCTTGTTCCTACAAAAATATCTCCATGAAATGCATTGAAGAAATTGATCCCCTTCAATTTTACAACATAGAGACAGTATTTTTCCATCATACTGATTTATAATACACTGAGTGACACAAAAAAGGATTTTAATGGTAAATATGGATTTGAATGAATTTTTATTCAGTTCACTTTATTCACTGCACAGAAAAATATTTTTTTTTTACATTCATATTGCCCACTCTTTGAAAATACTGGACATCACTACAGATCAATTCATCAAATCCACGAAGTGCCCACAGAATTTGAAGATTTTAATCAGTTAAGATTACTGTGTTTCAAATGATTGTAAATAGTTTTTTTGTAGAAGAACCAGGCAACCCTTTCAGCCCCTGGAGTTAGGTACTGCAACAAATACATATGGCCTCTCGTATATCACGTCTGATGGAAAATGCATGTTTAAGCCCCTAAGCCAAGGAAACAGGAAGTATTCAACATAAGTTCTGGTAAAATATGTGACAATTATAAATGAAATGCGTATTTCTAACATTCAAAAAATATGTTTCTATCTACTGAACAACCATGCTTCATAAGTGTTTTTGTACAGATACTTAGGTATGTTTGGCACAACTTGTATTTTTTTTACGTTCAGATCCACAGAGCAGCACGTTTTTACCATTTATAAGTAAAGTTTTTGTTGCACCATTTAGTGTAAGTAAGTGATCTTGACTTGTGCTATTTTTTTTAGGTGCCACCTGAAAGCATCGAGCGAGCTGCTGGGCTTCTGTTCTTTGATAAGTTATCTAGGGACAAAATTAGAAAAATAAACGGCAGCAAGTCTACTGTGGACTGAACACATGAAAATGGTTAGTTGCATTCTTATAACAAATGTACTTTTATTTTAAAACATACTGGAATATTGTAGTCTTATTAAGAAGAGTTAGCTGATTTTAGAGATGACATAGATATATTATTTATTATTAAAAACTGATAAATATCATTGGTATGATCACTGAAGTATGGTGCTCCAAGTGTTTTAACCTTTAATGTACGGACTTTTAAATTGCCGGGAACCCCCTGCGGCCAGTACTTAAATCACCAATTAATTAAATTTGCAAACCATCAGAAAAAAAATCCATATTTTCCGTTCTATGCAACATAGAAATAAAAACTAAGAACAACCTGAAAGACAATAAATTTTTCTACATGTACACAGAAGAGCAATTTTTACAAATGAAAATTAACTGTGATTATTTTGTCATGAATTGCAAAATATAATCTTTATTATATATGTTATGAAATTCCAAAGGACTTACCCATTGTTTTTTCTTCAGCCTTGAATCATGGTGATATTGTAAATATAATCACACTATATACTCGTACAATAATATTTTGTTCAGACTGTACGCGAGTTTGAACTGCGTCACTTCACAGTTTACGATAACTCACACTCAATGCACGTGTACTACTACTCGAAGCAGTCCAACATGCATAGCGCAACCTACGTCTTGAAGCAGCGCAACGTCACACTTTTTACAGTAGTAGAGCGTGCTTCTGCGCTTCTTATTCTGAGAACAAATACGTCTTAGTTTCCCTTTGGTTGGCCAGTGTTGTGAATGTTTCACCTCCAGTCGACTCAGTTGGGCCCCTGGTAACCTTGGCCTCCTCCGAGAAACGCCACTGACTGTGATATTCAGCTTTGAGACTTGGTGATATTGTAAATATAATCACTCTATATACAATAATATTACTGTACGCAAGTATGAACTACGTCACTTCACTATGATAGTCAAACCGACACTCGTGGCACTTCTCGAAACAGTCCACTTCACACAGAGCAAAATCACACTTTTTACAATAGAAGAGGGTGCTCCTGCTTTTCTTATTTAGTGAAACACACGACAACATCTTTGTTTCCCTTTGGTTGGCCAGTGTTGTGACTTCTTCAACTCCAGTCAACTCAGTTGGGCCCCCTGAGAAATGCCACTGACCGTGATATTCGGCTTGTGCAATTGAAGAATCATCTTGGGGGAGGGGGGGGTTTCTAGCAAAATCGAATAAATTATGTTGATTGACAAAGCGAGACTCTCACCTGTTGGTAATATTCGCAAAATAGTGATGCAAAGTAATTATAATACTAGTCGAAAAAAGTGCCAGTCTGACACATACTGAAAGTCGCAGTGGCGAAGATGTCTTTTACTCACAAAGTAATACTGGCTCAGGGGGTTTATACCTCTTCCAAGACGCAAAATAAAAATGATATACAAAGACATATGACAGTCTGACACTGACTTTCTAACTGATAAGGAAATATTAGACAATCCGACACTGACTTCCTGACTGATAATTCGCCACTGAAAAGCAATCCTTGAATGTGTCAGACTTCCTTGAAGGCTCTGCAAGCACCGATAAATATTTCCTCATCAGTTCTCGAAACAAAGCTGGGCTATATTTGGCTGACCAGGTCATAAACAGTCATATCTAAACGTAAATAGTATCAAAACCAGTAGCGGGATAAACAATTTCTTTCTTCAGAGCTAAGGAATGAACCACTGACATGACCTCACGTAGGTTTGTTTTGGTTTCCAACCCAAGGTCAAACTGCCAGCACTCCCAAAGAGAGCACGTACCCTGCGACCTATATACAGGTCATTCGGCCAACTCCGGTTCCTGCTTGCGACCTATATGTGACATTCGGACGTTAAAGGTTAAAGAATGTCATACATTCACTTCAATAAACTATTAAACAGTTAAGAATGCATTTTACAACTGCACAAAAGTCCCAGTGCCCAGTACATATTAAACTGCAGATTTGTTTGAAATTTATATGACATGTGGTCTTCAGTTCCTTCAAATTTGTCATGTGAGATAACAGCATTCATAACCTTTAAGAGACGGGCCATTTAAATTCCCATAATGGCAGCAGGCCGGAGAGTAGAGTATTGTAGAGTATTAAAAATTGTGAGCATGTTAAATGATACAAACTCTGTCCCAAGTGCAAACAATATATATTATATGTCTTTGATCTTGCTCTCTTCTACACTACATGTTTCGGCCCTAACGGCCATCATCAGGTGTATACTCTTACGTTGCTGCCACACTGAACCATATAATATATATTGTTTGCACTTGGGACGGAGTTTTTATCATTTATCGTGTAGAGTGCAACAGGATGCTTAAATATAATATTGTGAGCATGTTACTGAAAATGCTGTGATTTCTACAATTTTTGTGATAAACGAATGAAATAAATGCTGCTTTTATCTAGAAAGAATATAGAATCAGATATTTAATTTACAGATTTTAAAATCTGTAAAAATTGTTACACTATGTTATATTTTAGCGTCCTGTTGCACTGATTTAAGTTCATGANGCAATCCTTGAATGTGTCAGACTTCCTTGAAGGCTCTGCAAGCACCGATAAATATTTCCTCATCAGTTCTCGAAACAAAGCTGGGCTATATTTGGCTGACCAGGTCATAAACAGTCATATCTAAACGTAAATAGTATCAAAACCAGTAGCGGGATAAACAATTTCTTTCTTCAGAGCTAAGGAATGAACCACTGACATGACCTCACGTAGGTTTGTTTTGGTTTCCAACCCAAGGTCAAACTGCCAGCACTCCCAAAGAGAGCACGTACCCTGCGACCTATATACAGGTCATTCGGCCAACTCCGGTTCCTGCTTGCGACCTATATGTGACATTCGGACGTTAAAGGTTAAAGAATGTCATACATTCACTTCAATAAACTATTAAACAGTTAAGAATGCATTTTACAACTGCACAAAAGTCCCAGTGCCCAGTACATATTAAACTGCAGATTTGTTTGAAATTTATATGACATGTGGTCTTCAGTTCCTTCAAATTTGTCATGTGAGATAACAGCATTCATAACCTTTAAGAGACGGGCCATTTAAATTCCCATAATGGCAGCAGGCCGGAGAGTAGAGTATTGTAGAGTATTAAAAATTGTGAGCATGTTAAATGATACAAACTCTGTCCCAAGTGCAAACAATATATATTATATGTCTTTGATCTTGCTCTCTTCTACACTACATGTTTCGGCCCTAACGGCCATCATCAGGTGTATACTCTTACGTTGCTGCCACACTGAACCATATAATATATATTGTTTGCACTTGGGACGGAGTTTTTATCATTTATCGTGTAGAGTGCAACAGGATGCTTAAATATAATATTGTGAGCATGTTACTGAAAATGCTGTGATTTCTACAATTTTTGTGATAAACGAATGAAATAAATGCTGCTTTTATCTAGAAAGAATATAGAATCAGATATTTAATTTACAGATTTTAAAATCTGTAAAAATTGTTACACTATGTTATATTTTAGCGTCCTGTTGCACTGATTTAAGTTCATGATTTGTTTAATCCGTCTTGCAGTGCGTACACTTATCTATCTTCTTCTCTCACTCTCACTACATGTTTCGGCATAAAAATGCCATCTTCAGGTGCTACTGAAGATGGCATTTTTATGCCGAAACATGTAGTGAGAGTAAGAGAAGAAGATAGATAAGTGTACGCACTGCAAGATGGATTAAACAAATCATGAATTGTTACACTAATTCAAAAAAAATTTTTTTTCCCAATTTCGAGCGTCTGTCCACAAATATGCATACAGTTTCTGCAGTATAAATGCATGCTGCTGGCAACCTGTCTTACTATGTCTTATCTGGCAAAAGGGGAGGAAGTTTATGTTTATATTGCACATTCTCCAGTCATGCCCGAACCTTTCTGTATGCACGAGTGTGGGTGAAGTCTTATCGTATTTTGTCCTTCAGAAACTCTTGACTGTGTATATCTCAGACTGGACACACAGAGGTACTGTTCTTGGAATATCCCCGCAATGCCCCCTTGCTCCCTCGCCACTTTCAGAGTCGTCTGTACCGCCTTCTGAATTGGTGTCGTATATCAACGGCTTCTCAATTTCGGCTTGTTCCGTGCAAAATGAAGCCATGGTGGGTAGTTGAATGCAATGTTTTATAAGTGTTACGATTAGAGGAGGCCTCTCGACATCACTGGCCGACTTCCTCTAATACGAGACCGAGGTGTCGTGTGTGCTCTTCACGTGGGAAACGGAGTTACATCCAAAGTGCATGAATTGCAATGTCAGACTCTGTATTCAGTTTGATGATACAGGAGGTCAGACTGTCTACTTATAAAGCGGGTGCCCAAAAATAATGTAAGTAGAACAAGAATTTTTATCTTAAAATTAGATTTTAAAACACTGTGTGCATACGTGGACTGCACGTAGCCATATGGTGTCGCATGGCCACTCGGCTATACTTTTACTTTGAAGGTTAATAGATACTAGATAGATAAAATGATCATCTGCAGTACGAGGTGGTATCGGAAAGTTCCCGGACTGTTACTGTTGTAACTGCCTCTGAAAGATGAAAGAGGAGGCTAAGGCCACACTTCAAAAAGCCTATTGCATCAATCTGCCACGTGACACCCCACTGTGAACACGCATTGGTTTTACAAGAGTGCTTTCTCAACTGTGTGTTTCATTTTGTCTGCAATCGATGGCAAAAGTGAGCAACATGTCTGCATCAAGTTTTGCATGAAGCTCAGTAAATCCTCTACCGAAACCCTTGAAATGCTTCATGAAGCTTTTGAAGAACATTCTTTAAGCCAGACAGCGGTTTCTGTATGACATTCACGTTTCAAGGCCAGTCAGGTATCAGTTGAAGATGACGATCATTCACGGCAATGAAGCACCAGCCAATGAATTGAGGTGTTGAGTGCAGTAAGTAGGTAGCCAATATTTATATATTTGCAAATAGCCATCAGATGAGGGGTCTAGACATAGGTAGCAAAAACTGAATATCTGTGAAACATCATCCTTCCAGATTAAATGGGCCAAAACATTCACTACAAATATAAATGGCTGGGAAATCTGCATTTATCATTAGTTATTGTTTTTGTTATTAACCCTCTGTCAAGAGACCTCAGAGAGATGCCTGGCCATTTTTCGAGATAGTCATATCATGTCTCTTGAGATGTTTTTAAGTTTGTGCTTCAAAACTGCTAACATTTTGTCTTGATGGCAGGCTTATGTTCCTACATAGCATTTCATTTATCAATATATCAAAGAAATCGACAAATGAAACACTTCAACAGCAGGACTTTTGGAGCCATTTAAACGAAGCTGCAGAAGCAGGCAGAGTACCATTTTAAGAAGTCTTCAAGGGGTTAAGGGTCAAATTAGTGTTTTACAGAAATTGAGATAGTCATACCCAAACTTTACAGTACATAATTAAGTATGAGATACTTTATTGCTTCTAAAAGCAAGCATTTCTGTTTCTACTGCTCCATTTCTTGTCGTGATATAATAAATAGGTACATAATAACTGCAATATCAATTCCAGTATAATATTACCAAATAAAAATACAGGCTAGATCATGTACAGACATTGCTTTTAATTCAAGTAAACAAACTATAACAAATGCCCAGCAAAAATAAAAGATGGTGCCATAACTACGATTGTACCCAGCACATCATTTAATTTTAGAAAAAAAAATATATATAAATTACAGTAATATAAAATGGAAGCTTCTGCTGTCTGTCAAATAATGAAATGCTAGAGGAGGTATTGATGTGTAAGAGTGAAGACAGTGAAACATTATTACAGGTGTCCTACAAGCTCTTACAAACCTACACACTAATAAAATTAAAAAATAACTTACATTGTTCAAATTAATATAGCAGATATCAATTTACAGTATTACAATACATGAGGCCAGTATGAATTACTAGTACCTTGTATATTTGTAGAAACAGTCCCTTTAGCTTCTCTTTATTTGTTACATATATATTTTTTCCTTCGACACAAACTAAGTTTAGAGAGTAACACATTTCATAACATCACAGTTCATGCCTGATTTATACTTTTGTCAATGTACCCTAAAGAAATTAAGAACTATTCACATTTATATGAGTTATGAAGTATTTTCCTTTGTAGTAACGTCTCAATTCAATGGTTTGTAGACAACAAGGATAATTTCATTCCTCACGGTAAGAATAGCAATAATAATAATAATAATAATAATAATAATACCACCAACGGTTTCTCACTAGATATCATTTCATTCTTCAAGGACTTACCGATATGAAAAACTATGGGCAGTTTATTTGCTAATGTAATGTTACATGTTTCGGAAAAGTGCGCATTGCTCAGAGTTCACTCCTGAACATGTGACAGGTGCTTCCACATGTTAAGTCCACTATAATTGCTAAAATTACATCAAAATTATAACATAACTTTAAGACACCATTTTGTTACTTAAACAGGCAGTGAAAAAAGATTATACAACTTTTGAGCTGCATGCTACAAAGCAGTGATTCCCAACCTGTTTGCATTTTCGTGTACCACTGGTCATTTTGTTAGAGAACCACAGTCCCATAAAACAGCTCTATTTTCAAGAAGTATATTTTTATAGCAATTTTACTGTTATATTAATCTCTCGACACCTCACATCCCAGCCATCCAACCCGTTGAGAAGCATTGCTACAAAAGACATTCTGTTGTAAGCAGTATCATGTTTGCACTTGATTTTACTCCTGCAATTGGTGTAGAACCTAGAGCCATCATAAATATGGAAGTAAAAATAATTTCAATGCCCTGCTGGGGAGCAAATCTCAACTCACTGAGTTCATCCCCATAATAATAAATATTAGAGTAACATATTAGTTTTCATGTTCTCATAGCAGCAAGCATTCACACTGTGGTCTTCTAGGTTGTGATACAGTGCAGTCCCAGAGATGGACACCAACCTTTCAAACTTAAACCCTGAAGATGGAGGTGGCCTGTTCATGCACAATAGTGGTATCCACCTACAATACTTTAACAATTGCCATAACTCAAGAAGACCACAATCTGACTCAAAATAAACAGTCACGCAAGACAAACTTTGTGAAACTGAACTGTACATTTCACAACAGACATTCACAGTTTGGGAGTAGCTTCCTAAGTGCAGAAATGCTACTATTTGTGAAAACATGCCTTTTATTCTTATGTAAATTCCAAGCTCAGAAACTAAATATCCTGCAAACTTATAAGATTCTGAGCCAAAGCATAAAGGAGACTTTTGAGACAATAAAGCAGTTTTTTTTGTTTTGTTTTTTTTTTTTTTAATTTTAAAGACTGATATCTCAATATACATTGTGGAGTATGAAGTGAAACAGATGTCAACCAGAAATGTCTTCTGTCAACTGTATATAAATCAGTAAATGAAGTAAGTAAACAAATAATATTTATGCTGTTTGACTCTTCATAACTGTAACGAGAGGTGCACGCCCTCCACATAAACCGAACATCCACAGTAGCTATACTATTAATGAGACGACAACTGATTCAGATTATGACACTCGTTAGCACCACACAGTTCTGCTGTCTACATTATTAACCTTCGACTTCTCACTGCAACTACTACCTACAAGAATACATGAAGGAATCATATTCTGATGTATGTTAACCTTGTAACTTTCACATACTCTAAAACTGAGGACAGTTTTATGACATACAGACACGACAGTTTAGTGTTAATCAGTCTTGGCTGTAGTTACCAGATACAAACTACTTTCTACACACAATGAAATAATGACAGCTGTGCTGGCCACCTGAGGGTTGTACTCAAACCTGGCCAGCTTAAAAGAAAATATTAAAATTTACAGGTTCTGTGTCTATAATGACTAGATACGTAACTATTGTTTTGTTACTTTGCCACCACGTTAAACTCTCGTGACAACATTTCAAATCAGTTGGTCTGAAATGACGTGAAAGACATGAGTTTTAATGATTAATCAAAAACGAATTTTTAGACAGATCTACAAAGAATAGCAGAAATGGTGTTTAGCAGCTAACATACAAGAGACAGATGATGAGAGATTTTCATTTGTAGACTGATACAACAAAAAGTAGACACTTTGGTGTACCCAACACAGAGAGGTTAAAATATGCAGAGAACCAAGAGGTGGCCAAGATAGCAGACAGGTGAACAACTCATCTATAAGCTAATAAACTCTACAGGTTCCACAAAACTGTGGCCGGTTTACAAGTAGCCAACTTAACATGTTTCACTGTAATAACATGACTCTGAAATTATGTGTGAATTCACTAACATAATTACATACTGAACTGTCAACAGAATTTTTGTGCAGCTTAAAGTGGTTCTGGACTTCTGCACATCTGGCACAGAAAGCCAAAAATGGGTTATGATTCATTACAAATCCATTAAATATTTTCTGAAAACTTTAAAAGGCACTGTTAGTAACTGCAAATGTGGTGCATGTAAATATGACAAACACATCTGCTGCTAGATACTTACTTACTTATGGAGCTGAGCCCTTCTTGAGGAGAAGCCAAATCTGCAGCCAGATACTGTGAGAAAAGAAATTTGAAGACATGCTGCAAAGATAGTCTCTGGTCCTCAAAACAGCTTAAAAGATACACAGTAGTTTTGATTAGATAAATCTAAGAAAGGTGTCATATAGTTTTAAAAAACCTGTTCTTGTATCCCTGAAATTTCTTCAACTATGGCTAATTTCTTTTTTGTGAAACACATCACACTTCCATGTTTATCTTACATATGTAATCAAATCATTATCAATCTGAACCATGCACACAATTAACAGACAGGAAATTACAAGCGCTGGTGTTCTATCTGTACCAAAAAGCAATAAAAAATTTCACTACATGGAACCAACCACACGAGGAAGCATGGCAGTCCTACAGTTGCTGGGAAACTAGACATCTGGCAAGTGTGGAATATCTCAAACTCACAAATCCATAAAGTATCACATCAGTATAAAAATATTTCACAATTAGCTATCGTTACAATTCCAGTACCACTCCTGACTACATTGTGAATAATTTATTCTGTTTATATTTCTGTAGCCACAGCTCTGGTTTTGAGGTATTTTTTGTTAATGACACAGCATCTATCAGACGCACATCACTATTCTGAGTCTTCTGGGATGTGATGGTGCATGGTTTGGCAGGTAAATACCAATATTTTGGTGGGACCTAGCTACCAAATTATGTGGCATCACATCTCAGAGGAATGCCATCTCAATACTCATTACTGCGAGAACCTCAGACTTTACACATCAATGCGTATATCCATATTTCCTACTGCTCAAACAAACAGAACAACGCGTCAAATGGGAAAAGTTTGCTTATGTTGTGGATGCGCAATTCTCCTTTGTGGTGATGGTTATGGATTTCAAGTATAGCATACATTAACAGCGCTAATGCTGAACATAACTGACATTACACTTACAGGGACATGATCCTGAAACCGTTCCAGCCACCTCCCACCCTCACAACCAATTTTCCTAAGATCCATCTTACTAATTAACAAACTCTCCGGTAGCAGAATCTAAAGGTTCTATCTATCTATGGCTCTACAGCCCTTTGTTGACTTGGCCACTTTTTCAGTTTCCTGATCTTTGTACAGTCAGTAGGCCTCCTTGGATGGGTGATAAGCCAGTTGCAAGACTGTTATCTGCACGCAGGACAGCACAAACACAGAATAAACATAGACACACATTCATGCCTTGAGTGGGATTCGAACCCATGATCCCAGTGTTTGAGTGGGCAAAGACAGTTCATGCCTTTGACCATGTGGCCACTGTGATTGGCAATCCAAAGGTTCAACACCGCTAATACGAAAGCCTGCTGTTAAACATGGTGTTGAGCCAGTTCCATCCACTTGCCATAATCTCCCTACAAGTTATTTTAGGCTTGTCATGCACAGCCATACCATAACCTCAATGACATCCTCCTCTCCCTGTGATCTTCCCAGTGTATATATGCACATGTGCATAATGCAATGCATCCATCAGTTCTGAGAATGCCATACAATTGTCATATCATGCTCCAAGAGGCAAACATACATTTCATCCAGAAACCAGAGGGGAGACAACTACTAGGTGTGAGTGTTACCAGATAATCATTCTGTGTGCATGTAAAATGTGGTACTGCGATGAGGTGGGGGGAAGAAAGCTTTGATTGTGCTAGAGAAATGTATATAATAATTTTATGTGGGCATTTAATATTATGTTTCCACTCTTTAATATGGAAAGTAAAGTAATTTCATAAACCACAAATTATAAATAGCATTTAATATTCCCTAACTCTTGCGACATAATACTTCATTTAGCACAGAATTAAGTCTTGCTGATCAAGCACACCTGAAACATGTGCTATTACTAATTCTGAGGTTCTCACATAAGTGAATATTAAGACTATGGTCATCTGGAATGTGATGATAGGTAGTCTGTGTAGATGGAACATCCTGCCTTAATCTTCTCAGCAGGAGGAAATGGGGTAGTAAGCTCCTCCCAAACATTGACATCTACCAGACTACAAGGTGTCACATCCCAAAGGACAGAAACATACAATTTGTTACAAGAAAATGTTATTCTGTGTACTGTTTATACAAAACAGGAGACAACAGCACTTATACCATCAAAGTACTAAAGCGTGTACTTGTTTAAATACATGCTGCACTCTAGCTGAACTACTGCCATAGCAAAACAAAATACTATGAACTTCATTGTATCTGTTCGCTTCAACGTTCTCACTGTGGTGACAACCAGAAATACTGTTTCTTAGAGTCGGACAAGATGTACAGCCCAGCAGAAGTTCACACACGTTTTTGATGAATGTACGGCCTCCGTCTTCAGGGCCAAGAGTAAGTCTGGCAAGCACATTACTTGCTTGGCTTCCTCTTCAACCTTCGAGAGGGGTCAGTACATGCATCTGAAGCACTGACAAACTACCTGGCCCCAGGGCATCACCTCCCAGATGACAGTACAGTCGCACATCAACTTACAACTTCCCAACTTATGATCACAATTACACTTTCAATTTCAGACTTACACCATCTTGTAATGTCCTGGTGACTCTAACCCACAGCTCCTTAACAATCCTTCATAACATACAAATTAACTTAGTTTTAAATGTTTAATACTATGTCATCTGATGTCCCTTTATTTATGTTATAATAAAACAGAATTATAACATAATATGGGTTAAAATATTAAAAAATGACTGTGACTGTAACTCTCCATATGTTCCATGTAATAATGAGCTCAACATATGATTTTTCAAGTTACGAGCCAATTTCTGGACTGCATTTGCAAGTCAAAGGCACATCTATACTCTTCACTGTATATGCTACTGGTACAGGCAAGACAAAGTCAGAAACTAAACTAAAAACCTGGTTCCAAAGTGTACGGCAGTGATATTTAAAAATGAACATGGAGTCGTCTAAAATTCCATGATGTACAAACCACTTTAATCCAATTCCTGTCTCAACGCAACAACACTATGCAGGATTAAAATAGTAGATATTTCTATTTATATAATATAGGTTATAATTTCAGTATACACAGCAATTTACAAATCTCCTAAACCCATTAAATGCTTAACAGATGGGAGCACCGTAACATGTCTTGCGGATGCAAGATGGAACACCGAAACATAAGTCAGTATGCGTTTTGAATAGCCTTACAAAAACTTATCAAGATGTGTTCCTGGACGGAAAATGGGAAACTCCACTGAACAGGTCAAAAGAAAATCAAACAGGATGCAGCTGTGTGTGGAGTTCAACTTGAGAGGGTTAGAAATATTACCATTCTGTAATGTATCCAGCTTGCATGTTGTATCACAGGGATAAGGAGCTTCTTGTAAGACTATTAGTAGTAATATACGAGTCAAATGACACATAATTTCACAATTGTTCTGGGCAAAAGAGTAGATCCCAATAAAAAATCCCCTATGGGCAATGAGGTAGGCATCCCATTGCTGAACCAGCTGATGGATCTCCTCTGCAAGGCCGCTGGAACCACTTCACCAATACGGCCTCGACATCTGTGTCCAAATCGACAATGCTTTAGCACTTTCTTGAGGGGACCAAACATGTAAAAATCCCAAGTAACAAGTCTGGGCTGTCTGTGAGATGATTCAACACCTTCCTGCACACTGAAGCACCAGACAGTGTGGCCCACGTGGGGATGGGTATCGTCATGCAACTTGATGCAAGCTGCCGTGAGCACAGATGAGGGTATGAAGGCATCAGAGGATTCCACATCAGCGCTGTGCATTGGCATGGGGATGTCAGGGTGCCATGGCTATGAGATCCAAGGGCTGCAGGCTCAGGTCCAACAAAGAAGGCAGGGCCGAGGTGGCGCAGTGGTCCAGCAGCGGGTCAGGGAGTTCTGGTTGAAGGGGATCAGTTCACTAGTGCAACACTGGGATGCCTCCTTCAGCATCCATGGGGACTACTTCTTAACAGCCTCTACTCCTTCACACACAATAATGCCTGAAAAGGTTTCATTTGAACAACCCTTGTAATTGAGGTATACAAAAGAATTTACACAATGAAGAAACCAGTTCACACTGATTCATTCAAGATACTTTCCTTCTGTCATTTTTATCTTAGTATCAAGCTTCTGAACACTGTATGGTTGTGTGTACTTATGTATCAACTTGTATTAACTGTTTTCAGAAAAAAAAAACCAATACTGAACAATACTCTGATGATTCCATTTTATGAAAGTTTTGAATTTATATCACCAAAGTTCATGGTCTGATCTGTATTTAAAATCTTGCAATGTGGAGTCTAAAACCAAGAAGCTGATCTGAAGATGTGAATGTCTGAGGCTTCATGACCCACTGTTCAGTTCCTGGCGTTGAATTGGACTCTGTATAATCTCACTAACACAGTCCACTGTCACAACAAACAGAGATTCTTCACGTGGCCAATTGAAGAAAGAGTCTATCAATAACCATGTTAATTGAATACCTTAATCGAAGTTCACTGTTAAGTCGATAATTACGATGATAGTTTCAAATAAATGTTAACCCTTTCGCTACTAGTTAATAATATAAGCTACAACATGAAATTTTAAGTCTATCCCATTACTTCACACACTTCCAACTTTATTTCAAACTGATTAATATGAAGTTGACTGATGTCTATCGGAATGCATGTGTTCCAACTTTTCATGCCAATAAGTTGTTCAACTGAATAAAAAGAGTTAACATATTTTTAGTATGTCTCCCCATCAATCTATCAATTTCAGAGCACTGTAACCATTCTCACTTAAGTATAAACAGTACATCACATTTCCAACTCAAAGAGCCAGCCTCCTTTTACCATAAACAAAATTATATTAATTACGTGACTCTGATTCTAAAATTGGTGAAACCTAACCTTTAAAATTAAAGAACCTAAGAACCTATAAATGCAACACACAGATGCTAAATGGAGTGAGATTCAAAATAAAACAAAGTTAAAAAAATGATCAATTAGGTTCTGCACAGGCCATGTTATTCTTCTCTTGGGTCTTTGCATTGTGTGGACGCAGGCAGTGTTGCTGACGTTTCAGAAGTACATTGTGCTTCCAGCTTCAGGGTCAAAATCAGGGCTCAATGTTCATGGAGGGAGAGGCTCCAGTTCCACCCTTCCCCTGCGGGTATGTCAGACCAGTGACTCATTGCACTCACCTTAACCCTGAACATGGGAGCAGCATGTACCTCTGAAACTTCAGCAACACTGCCCAAATCCACATGGTGCGAAGAGGCAAGATGAGACTCACTGTAGCAGATCCATCATGTTCGCAACATCGGAACATCACATCTGCATGCATACAACACACATTATGATTGTTATCAGGGATAAAGCACAATCATGGGCCCATTTCCCTAAATGTAATTAAATAATATTCCCTTACTATTTCAAAATGAAAGTAACTCATCATTTTGCAGTTGGAAATACAAAACCAAGCAAACCAGGAGCAGTACATTCTAACAGCTCTCACATACTGAAGCAATGAGCAAAACAAAGAGATGTAAATATCCTTAAAAAAAGACTAGGCTTCATTCAAAATGGGAGATTGAATTATGCTCAGGGTTTAGTCTCATATGCAGCTTTTGGTACTTCTTACATTTATAAGGTAGTCTACTGCACCCTGTTATGTATTATTAACAGACGAGAATACCCAGTTGGAACAAACAGTTGAAAAATGTATTTCTAACTACAATACTACGTGCTAATGATACATCCATGACAAAATTCCATTATAAAAAGTTTCAATTCTCCTCTCATATAATAATTCAGCAAATATACTTAGAATTCAAAACATTTTGTGTGAAGAAATGTCTGCATAGATGAGACACACCACACACCAGTTCAGTACCAAACATCTCATGTCACCTTATGTCAAAAAGAACTGTGACATTTTGACATCTGATCTCATGGACAAGTTTAAGCTACTAATTATGTTAATATATAGAAATAATCAAAAACAGAAAATCACTTTTCTTATTACACTATAAAGTGCATAATATATGGATTATGACAGATCTATTTCATTTTTTTAATGTGAAGACACCCAAAACTACACTCATCCCATTTTGAAGTGCTGAAACACAATTTTCAGCTTGATATACTTAAAACCAATAACTGAAATTTTATTTTGAAACATTACAACATAATACAAAGTGGAACCTTGCCAACACAATGAAACAGAAAGGAAAGAAACAAGCCAGCTATAAGAACAAGGACCAGTCCTCCTCCAACATTTTAACCTTGTATAAATTTGTGATCAGTACAGGCCACCAAAGAGGAGGAGGAGGAGACGAGAGTAGTGAGAAACTGAGTGTCTCCACTGGACACGCTTGCTGTAATGCTGAAAAGACTTTCTACTAAAAGTCATGCCTCCCTCTTCCCATGACAATATCCGAGCATTAGTGAAGTTACATTACCGATTTTCACAACAATCTTCTTCCACTTTTGCTGGCTTATTCCTGGCACTTCTACTGTAACATAGGTAAACTCTTTTAAACTTTACAGATTGCAACCTGTTGCATGTGTAAAATCTAAGAATCTGACCACTGACACAACAAATAAATGAAAAGTTGTATTCAAGTGAAGACAAGCATATATCAATCGTACCTCATTTATTATATGTATGCATAAACTTATGCTACATGCTTAAGCATACAATAAATAAGTGAGGTACAGATTAATATATGTTTGTCTTCATTAGAATATGATCTTTCCTTTATTTGTTGTGTTGACAGTCACATTCTTAGATTGAACTCTGAAACACAAGACAAGTCTCATGAAGCCAACTGATTACATCTACAATTAACGTTAGAAAGAATGTGAAGGAAACAGAAACGCAAAGAAATATAGTCTCGAAATTACCTGTCTTGTGAGTTGAGACAACACACAATAGTCTCGAAATTACCTGTCTTGTGAGTTGAGACAACACAGTCTTGTGGAACACTACTGACGTTTCACAGGAACAAGTGTGGGCAGTGCAGGAGAGAAACTGTCCTGATATTGCAGAGGAGGGACCCAGAATGGGGCAGATGATAGCACCAAGAAGTGACAGATATACCAGCAGCAGAATATCTTAAGATGGAGTCCAGCATGTTCTTCAGAAACATCACTACGATCTACCAGACTATATTGCATCATGTCCCACAAGCTGGTTAACCTCCAGTCACCACCGCGAGAATCCAAAATCTCTCTCTGTCCGCTCTGCTTATGTGTATCTAAACAACTGCTTGTATAAATGTTATCATTCATGAACAATAGGTACTGCATAGCACAGACATGTCACTCTATATGTCATATACTAAGTCCGCTTTCCACAGGATAAGAGATCCATAAGCACGTTAGTACTACTGCCAATACGTCCGTCTGAGACACACCACCATGTAACACGACTCTCACATAATAAGTACAGTTTATGAGAGTCTGTTTTGTGCTGTTGGTTTAGCCAGGCACCGGAGAATTTCCCTTCGGATGTGTTTATGTTTTGTGCTGCAACCCTAGCATGCACATGCCCCCTCCCTCACTCATTTCTCCCCTCCACTCCTGTGGGACCTCTGGGGCATGTCTCTGAAACTCACTGCAGTCTTGGAAACGACTCGTGAAGTTTGTTTTAAAATTTGGTTTGGTTCCTTTCCTTATAAAATCATTCTGGCCGTCGTTTCTACCTCCTGCTTAGGGCAGTCCAGTCCCTACACAGTCTGCCAAGGTGAGCTGTTTTTTGTTTCATATTTCATTTTCTGCTTCTGCCTCAAGTGGGCAGACATCGTACTGGCCGCAATGGAGATTTTGTGTTGTTTTCTTTTGCTTTCCTGCAGTCTAGTTGTATCTCCACTTGAGATGAGTTGTTTGAGTTGTCTTCTGTTTCATCAAGTATCATATTATTTTGAATATAAGATGCATATTTTTCACATTTCTTTTTCCCCCATTGAAAAATTGAGGTGTCTTAAATTCCAGGAATATGCACCCTTCTAATTTCTCCCTCCTAAATCCCACATTCAAAAACTGGATGCGCCTTAAATACTAATCTCTACTTCTCCTTCTGTGTATATAAAACATCCCTGAGGGTACAACATACCCTGAGTGTGAAACCACACAAAAGGAAAGTCCTGCATGCTCAATGAGATCTCCGTATGGTGATTTCAGTTCCCATCACGTGTTGTTGAAAACAGAATCTAATAGATTTTAAAGCTGACAGAACGATTTACATCACTGTCTACAGACAGTGCATCCTCAAAGATGTTTCAGATGCTTTGTATGTCCTCTGCATGAAATAAATGTGTAATGGACAGGCAATTTTTGGCCATGTGTCCACATGTTTCATATCCAAAAGTATTCAATGGATTTCAGTAAACACTGATACTGAGGATCAACATTATGTTGCAAGCGAATATCACCTGGTCCAAGCAATCCAATACATATACTTAACAAGAACACAAAATTAAACTCTTGCAAAATTTCTAGACAAGAACTTCATATGTCACAAATTTGTCAATTATATCATATAAAATAAAAAGGCTGTAACTTCTATTTGAAACATTTTTTTGATGTGATATACAAACAAAATTATGTGTGCCTCTACGCAGTGCAACACGTGTACTGCTGATCAACTGCATCAGCCTGTTAGCCCGGAGACTTGTGCCCACATTACGCAAATGTCAGACCTAATGGAGATTGCAATAGTGTCTACTCCACACCTGAGTTATGCCTTCATGTTTCTGTTATACATTTCACATTTTACTGCATCATGAACTTCACTTACCCTTAAAACAGTAACATAATACATGCACATTGTTGTCTAAGAAATAACAAAAATGTGGAATTTTTAACAGGGCCATATAAAAAATGTTATTAAAAAACCTAACAGGAAAAAACAGAGACATATGGCTTTCACAGATACCTTTCAAATGTGTGAATTATTTTCTTACTGCTGGTGACTTCAAAAAAAGAAGTCTTAGAAATCACTTCAAACTAACTACAGAAATACCTGCAATGCCATATTTATCTGACAACATGACCATTTTTATCAACTTTTATTTACATTCAAAAGTATCTACTCATATTCAAGAAAAATGTGTAAAAAGGGGAAAGAAAATCAACCACTATATAGCAAGCTCATGAGCACAAAGAAGAAATTCTTTCCAAAGTCCTACCAATGATGTACTTAAGGGTGAATTCTGTACCATGAACAAAATTTTGTACACTTCCACATCTTCATATAACGTGTCAAAAGATCTCTGCTGCACAACGCTCCTGTACAAGTTATATGAACGTTACCAGACATGTTACTGAAATCAAACTGGTTCCACAGTGATGCAGCCATTAACCCTCAAGCAGTAGTCTGGCGGCCGCTGTGTCAGAAGCAGCTGTAACCATGTTGAATTTGAGTTTTTCACAGCGGTGACTATCAAGAGTACATAAGAGTATTCTAGGATGTCATGCCATGTAGTTCAGACAGCGTGGCCTTTTGGAGGAACCTGTCACCACCATCTTGGGGGGGGGGACATGTCATAGGGTAAGCCAAGCCAGAAACCCATTGAAATTGCCATTTGCTGCCTGCTTCTGTTGGTTTTTTGCTTTATTTACTCTTCTACCCTGAAGACAGAGGCAATGTGCTTGCCTGAAACTTTGGGCTCTCTCCAAACTATATGCCATTACAACCCAGAATATCAGTCTCTTTTAGCTGTAGTATGTCTATCAGTCATTTCTAAGTTCCCACTTTGATTCTGGCTGCATTTCCTTCTTATCTACACACAGAAGCCTCTGCTCTCCTGCATCTTTCCTTCACCAAATAATGCATTTCATTTATCACTACAAATAAAGATCTAAAATTAATATATATTCTGCAACTGCATTGCAAGGGCAATGATTTGTGGTCATTTATATGCACCTGCAAGGCAGGCAAGTTGCCCTGTGAAGAAATCCTCAAGGGGCTTAATGAAAATGGCAAGGTTCCAACACACCTGAAACCTGTCTCCAGCCTTATAGAACATACAAATAAAAAGGGCCTCTCCTTTGGCATCTTCTGTTTTGAAAAAGAAAGAGAATATTTGCTTGAAGGTGTAACGAAAGGGTTAAAGCACACAGCACATTGTCACATTTGAATCCACTTCTCTCCAACTAAGAGAGATACCAGCTTATGCTTAGAATGCTCCTCTGGAGAAAGCTTCGATGACACGTGGAACCTGAGCATCAAAGCCAGCTACATCCAGCATACCAGGGTCATTGGGACAAGCCACAGCAAAGTGTGAAGCAGCCAAACCACAGGTCACCAACCTAAGTGATGGAACAAGGACATGAAACCAACAGTAAGACTTCATTGCTTCAGTTGTGTACTATGTAGGTACAGATGCCTCATTCATTCATTCATTCATCAGTGGCTCTACAGCTTTTTGTTGGGCTCTGGCCTCTTCTTCAGTTTAGTAATCTTTTTACACAGTTGGTAGTAATGTATGGAGGATCAGCCCATCACAAGGCTGCTACCTACGCACAGGATAACACAAACACAGAATAAACGCACACACAGACATCTATGCCTTGAGTGGGATCTGAACCATGATCCCAGAGTTCAAGTGAGCAAAGACAGTTAATGCCTCAGACCACACAGCCACTGTGATCGGCAACAAATATCATATTTGAGTAAAATATTAGTGAAGCTATGACATGACACTTCATAGTCCAATAAAGAACAACAGAATTCAAAGAATAATGCACAAATGAAAATATGTAACTGTTTACTATTTCATGTATTAAAACTGAAAATAGTCAGTAATAAATAAATTCATATAAATCTTAGTCTTTTGGGTTTTGTTGCTGGAGCTAAGTGTGATGCATTGACTCTTAAGACCAGGCCACATCGAATGTTCAGGACCCCCCACGCGGACACTGAAACCCTTCTCAACACATCTCTCCACTAAGCACGTGGTCACTCCTGCCACTATGTTCATCATGGCTTCACCTCCAACACACTGCATAATACAAGAGCTATGTGAAACCTGTTGACACCTCTGCAAGACGGCAGCTGTGAAGTTTGCCGAACTGGATGTCCTCAGTACAGCTATGGTCTACGAGCCAGGCAGCCAAGAAATTGGGGTTCAATTCTCAGCAGAGGTGAGAGTTTTTTTTCTTACCTGCAGCATCCAGATCGGATGTGAGGCCCATGCAGCCAAACACCCAAGGGTTACTGGGGATGCATTCCCTGAGATTGAAGCTGACCATTCACCTCCAAATATTGCAAAGGTTAAGAATATGTGGATCTACACCTCCACTTCCAGGGTGTCATCATGGCGCAGTGCTTAATTAAGTACAGAGGCTTTACATTTACCTTTAGACTCTTGGAGACTTCTGAGTGTGCTATTTGCACCTGTACTAGATGGCCTCTGTCCAGACATCTTACAATGGTAACACATTGCACAATCTAAAATAAAATAAAAACACCAACCCTCTGCCAGCAATCCCCCATATGTCACTGATGCAAGGACAGAGGTTATCCAATGGTCAGTTACAAATACCATTGTCTTCAAAAAAATGCATATATATATATGATCTCAGTTTATTAAAAATTATCACTGCTTTAAAAGGACCAAAAATATTTAACCCAGATTTCATTAAGTATGAAATTAAACAGTTTGTATCATGAATTTCATAGTCACATCTTACAATTTTTATAATGGAAAAATTCTGTAACCCAAATGTCCGTAACATGAGGGTGTCCTGTACATACAAAACTACAAGAATGTAAAATGCCATCTATCTGTGAAAAATAGCAAAGTAAAAATGGATAAAACAATACTGCATGAATTTTCTTATCTTCTCTTAACAACATAATATAAACAAGATGTGCAGCGGAGGATATAAAACTAATAACATATAAAAATTTGAACTGACAAGTGCTGAAATGAAGGTACTCATACCAAAATGACCACAGATCAAAAAGATACATGAGAATGCACATTCAGCAGTCCAGTGTTCATATTTAATATTTTGGGGCACTGGAGCATGTAACAGGAGAGATAAAATACAACTTAATTATTTACAAAAACACAGTGTTGGCTGCAGGAAAGAAACTGGTTAAGTGATTCTGACAGCAGTGGACTGTGAAGACTACAGATTTCTGGGATGCCATCCCATGTTGTTTGCCTATCTACCAGACTACAAGGTGTCACACCTCAGAAAACCATAACCATCAAACAACATTATCTTCTATTACCATGGTAATCACAAGCAGCGGCAGGTCTTTGGAACCTTATAAAACAGTGAGCAAGTTGCCTCAGGTGGTGATGGCTAACTATATTCAGGAGGGGCTGGGTTTCATTTTACGGCAGGACCGATTTCATATGCCCCCCCCCCCGGAGTGTCACCAGGCAAATATTGTTAACAGTACCTCAAACTAGGCCATCATCACTTCATTTTACATCCTGTCCACTCGTTAATGACCTACCATTCAATGAAGATGCTTATGAAGACAAGGATGATGACAGCTTCATTAAATAAACCATAACAACAAACACCACCTTAACTGCCAAGCCAGACAATGAGGAAGGTGACTTACTTTGCATTGGGGAGGTTCAGGGCATTACGGTACTGCTGCAGAGACTGGATAACATCAGCACTCCGTTGTCTCACTTGGGTATCTGTCAAGATAATAAATACATCTACCAGTTTCTTCATCTTCCTGGCCCACAACAGTGGCTGGGACAGATCAACAGCTCCATTTGGTATCTAGGGACAAAGGAAAAGACAACATAAAGAAATTGCACATACTTTTCCACATACGACTGACTCCGACTACATTACCCTGGAAATCAAACTGATTGCAGTTTGGTAGTCCATTGGTGGACGCTGAATGCCGAACAACAGTAAAATCATTTGACCACCAGAACCATTTCTAAGAGAATTATAACATTTTGCACCCAGCCATTCAACTGCTAGCAAGCCATACATACATACATACATACATAGGCCAGTCAAATGAAAACCTTAAATATTTTTTTGAGATTTATTGTGCACAAGTGGCACAAAGCTGTATCACTTTTCAACATAAACTCTCCCACGCTCAGTGCAAGTCCTCCAGTGCTCACAAAGTGCATGAATTCCTTTACAAAAAAATTCTTTTGGTAGTCTGCGCAATCACTCATGCACCGTATGGCGTACCTCTTCATCAGAACAGAATGTCTTTCCTCCCATTGCTTCTTTGAGTGGTCCAAACATATGGAAATCACTTGGGGCAAGGTCTGGTCAGTATGCCAGATGAGGAAGATACTCAAAATGCATGTCACTGATTGTCGCAACTGTTGTACGGGTAGTATGGGGCCTTGCATTATCATGTTGCAAAAGGATACCTGTGGTCAGCAGTCCACGTCGCTTTGATTTGATTGCAGGCCGAAGATGATTTTTTAGGAGATCTGAGTATGATGCACTGGTGATAGTTGTCCCTCCAGGCGTATAGTGCTCCAAGATGATGCCTTTTTTGTCCCAAAAGAGAGTCAGCATAACCTTCCCCGCTGGTCATGTTCGAAACTCCTTCGGTTTTGGAGATGAGGAATGGTGCCATTCCTTGCTCACTCTCTTTGTTTCTGGTTGGTGGAAGTGAACCCAGGTTTCGTCTCTTGTAATGATTCTTGCAAGGAAGTCATCACCTTCTCGTTCAAAGCGCCGCAGAAGTTCTTCACAAGCATCAATATGTTGGTCTTTCAATTCAGGAGTCAGCTGCCGTGGCACCCATCTTGCAGACACTTTGTGAAACTGGAGCACATCGTGCACAATGTGGTGTGCTGAACCATGACTAATGTTTAAACTTGCTACAGTTTCATTCAATGTCACTTGGCAGTTTTCCCTCACTGTGGCTTCAACTGCTGCAGTGTTCTCTGGAGTCACAACTCGATGTGCCTGACCCAGACGAGGAGCATCTTCCAGTGAAGTCACAGCATTTGAAAACTTCCTACTCCATTCGTACACTTGCTGCTGCGACAAACATGCATCACCATACTGAAACTTCATTCTTCGATAAATTTCAATAGGTTTCACACCTTCACTACACAAAAACCGAATAACAGAACGCTGTTCTTCCCTGGTGCAAGTCTCAAGTGGGCAGCCATCTTATACTGGTGCTGTGGCGGTGTTCGTGCAACTGCACTATGCTGCAACCTACAGGCCATTCTGCACACTGTTTGTAGCACGCTTACCAACTTACAGGATATGGCGCGAAATTTCGTTTTTTTATTACAAATTTAAGGTTTTCATTTGACTCACCCTCGTACATACATACATTACACTAGGACCACGCCACAGCTCAAGCAGTTAGTCGCTGGCTTCCCACCGCGACAGCCCAGGTTTGATCCCGGGTCTGGTCAAGTGGGATTTGTGGTGGACAAAGTGGCGCTGGGGCAGGTTTTCTCTGAGTACTTCGGTTTCCCCTGCCAATCTTCATTCTACCAACCGCTCCACAATCACCCTCACCTATCTTCTTGGGCTGGTACAAGGGACTTAGTCCCACCTCACTAGCAATAAAAAGATACATTACTCTACATACATACATAGATACTGTCATGTATGAGGGGTTAGCATGATAAATGTAACAGGTTCTGGATTGGATGACTGGATTTATTGGCACTTCTTTACAATTACAACCAATTATAACAGCTCACATTCCATGGTTGCCTAAGACTCGCTCCATTCTTTACTGGACGAGTGTCCTCTGTTCCGCATGACTAACTTGGTTCTGATTGATGAGTTGGTTACTTCTTCAGCTTCCGCTGTCTGCTAGTTATCACTCCACAGCTAAGGACTGAACTCATGAGACTGCATCACTGCACTTTCTTCCACTGAACCAAGCTCTCAAATGAGGTCTTCCTTTTATAACTTTGGGAAAACTGAATATAAGTCACAATGTCTTATAGTTTCTCTCTTACTTTCTTTCTGTGTTTAACCGTTGTCACGGGAACTGTTGCCCAGCAATGATTATTCTGCAGCTATTTGCTGCAGAGGGAACATGCTTACAAATTTGTCACCTAGCAACGATCATATTCTGACCTGCTGTCATGAAAATGTGTGTTGGTGAGCCACTGGCTAGCAAGGGACTATTCCAGATTTCAGGAGTCATGTCACAGTACATTACATACATTACAGATACATTATATTACATTACATACATATATACTGTGACGGATTTGTTCGAAGCATTAAGCTATACAGCCAGAAAAACCCATTGCTAGGTAAACACATTCCCAACGCAGTCAACAGTGGAACTTCAATGGCATAGTAGTGAGCATTTCAATAAGCAAGTTTGCATGACAACAGATTCATGAAAAAGGAATTTCGGTGTATACGAGCTAGCCTATATAAGGTGCCATGGAGACTCTTCATTAAGTCATTTAACAGACAGATGTCATTCAAAGCAGTTCAATAGTTGCAGTGTTAACCAGATAAGATTCGTTAGAAAGCAACAACCAGTATGCAGATGCTGAAGACTTTATTTTATAAGTTATAGTTGCATTAATCTTTAGAGGTTTATAAGCATTTGTAGTTACGGCTTGTGAGCGTTGAATAAATCTATTCACCACTCTAAACCCTGTGTACAGTCACTAATACACACAACAACACACACATACACACACAGGAGGTGTGATAAAAATTATGGTGAATTAGCATGTCTGGCTGTAAATTGAGGGTGACAAATGAAATAAGCGTGCATAGTGTGTTCCCCCCCCCCCTTCTCTGTAGGCTTGTCTAACAAGTTTCAACTAGCACCGCTCATCCTGTCAGTAGTTACTGAGGGTTCAGTGAATATATATGAATATACATATGATACACAACTACCGCCATCTATTATCTCTATATACAAATTACTATAACAGACATCAAAGACTGTAAAGAACAAAGATGTAAAAACTTGGAATGAAAAAACTTTGTGGAAAATTTGAAAATTTGGTGATTATGGCTATTGATAGTGGGCCTATGCCTATATGAAAATAATTCAAGATGTAGGAAAAACTGAAAATCACACCGCTGGAAAATTCTGTCACGTCACTCGAGTGATTATATACAGGATTTGGATTGGTAATTGGATTTCCTGAACTCTTACACATCTTTGACTGTAAGTAAACTATAACCGTTTCACTAATTCACACACACTTTACAGTTCACTAGAAAACAAACTAAGGTCTCCTCAGCCTGCAGTGTCTTCACCAGTCTTCAGGTAATGGCTTCCAACGGCGAGCATTCCCGTTCTTCTGGGTTCTGAGCTCTCCCTGGCCTCAGCTACAGTAACTCTTGACTGACTGCCACTAGACTCATCTTGATTATACTATCTTGGCGCACATTGCACACAAAAACTGCGACACTATTGCTATTTACAGGCAGCTGCCTGTGGCAACTGTCTAGTTTTTTGTTTTGTGGTCTTTGCCTAGCAACAGGTCTACATGCCACAATATGTTACTGAAAGTTGTATGAGAGATCGGGGTATGAAGGAACATTTCAACCTGAAAAGCAAATGGTTCTTTATGGCAAGGAAGTGATAAAGCTTCAAAGTGAATGAAACTTTTTGCGAATACATGAGAGGTTGCAGTTTGGAAGTGCATCTAGAAAAATGTTCCAGTTAAAGGTCTTTGAAATGCAAAGAACACAAAATTCATAGTTTGAAGGCAAGCCAAGGATGGATGAGGAGGTTATCTGCAAGAAAATCTGCTACTTGGACAAAGCAGTGTCTCTTATGAGCATGAAGATATGAGCAGGCCAATATGTTACACAACTCTAAATATCCTCATTCTACCATTATGGAAAAGATGTGCTAACAAACAGAAACACACAAACACTTCCGATACCTCTTTCAGTTTGTTCTGCGTTTCTTTCATGGTGATATTCTTGTCCAGTTCCACTGGTTGCATTGAACCTTCAGCACCAAAAGCCACCACTGTCACATCGCGTTCTGCCTTTACCAGGCAAAGCGTTACCAACACAGCTGCCTGTGTGGGCGAAATGTTAGAGCAGTGCCAGCATTTGCCATGTACCATCTGGCTCCGTACGTCAATTGCCACTAAGTAACGCATCCCTGTTGGTACTAGTAACTGAAACACAAATATAGGGTAATTCAAAACAAAGTAAACACTTTCAGATTACTAATAATACTGTCACGTGTTGGGTGTATAACGCGACAAGTAACTTCACACCGTATTGGATATAGCGAATTTATTGCACATTCGCTCTTACAATCACACAATTTACAATCTCACAATTACTGCCATCGGCAGTATCACAAATACTCCGACGAAAGGCAGACAGCTACTGACTGGTTACTCTTTCTCTAGTAACTCACTTACTAGTAACTGCTACTCACAAACTGGCTAACTCATAACTAACTGTTGAATAGTGTTTGCTGCTCCTTACTTAACCCCGTTATGGATAACACAGAAAACAGTTATGTAATAGGCACCACTGTTGCGTAACGTTGTGTTTACTGACTGCCTAGGAACAGTCGTTGCACGGACTCCCCGCTTTGTTTACAAAGGTGTTGCTGGGCAGCGCGGCCGGGAGTCGTTTACGGCTACGTAGCAACTGCGGCGTCCCGTGTCATGTCACCGCGGGGAAAGGGGTGTCTACCGAGCGTTGCACACTGATCGACAGAGTGGGGGTATGTGACGTCACTCGCGAGATCACAAAGTTCACGCGACCCCCACCTCCCACTACGCCATCCACGCCACAATACAATATTCATTTCCGGGTAATACCTACATACTCATGGGTAGTTAATTTGACCAAGGTTTTTTTAATAACAAAGTAAAAGTATCACTAACAGGCTGTGGAGGCCCACAGGGTTGTGAGATGTTGAGCTTCCCACATTTTCTAGACAATCAGCTCATAGATGGCGGTAAGGCTGTCAGCATTACGCGCTGGCCGCCCTTTACCCCCAAGAATATTCCAAGAATATTCCTAGTACTCATTTCTGTTAGAGGCTGAGTCGACCACAGGGCCACAGTGTGCCTGGAAGGATTAGGTAAACTGAAAAAATCCCCCTCATTTGGATTCGATCCTGTGACCCTCTGGCTTGTAGCATAGCGCCTCAACCAACTATGCTACTGTGTGCCCCCAAGTTTTTTCTAATACCAGGCAAAAATGTGGTTCTCTTTCCATCCACTTCAGGTGCATGTTAGGAAAATGACAACTCCATAGATAAAACAATATATGTCCATTGGTATGTAAAGATGAATTCTGCTACATGTGTGGGAGTACCACGAAGCATACAAGTAGGACCCACTGGAACAAAAGTCATTCTATACATGGTATAAGTCTGATACCAAAGGGTACACTGCAAGGGACAGAGTTCTGGTCATCCACCGTTACCAGTAACACGCTGATAAAACTGTGAGAAGAAATGGAGTATGAGACTGACGTCTGCTGTGTGCCTCATTGGGATCACACTGGGTGTCCATAAAGTTTGCAAGAATTTTGGAGAAAATTTGCATCAATCTTATGTGTTATGTAAATACTGTACCATAAATTTTATTTCTAAAGCTTCTTGAAAGTGTTCATTTCATTCTGAACTATCCTGTGCAACCTATCAGATATCTGCAGCATGATCGCCTCTACTGTTTTCAATAGTCCTGAACAGCGTTCAGTAAATTTTCTCTCCAACATTGTGAGGGGAACATAGTTAACATGATTTAATTTGCAGAAATCAGAAGCATGAACAAACAAAGCGGGGCAGGACCTGTAAGGTACAAAGTGATGCAAAACTGCATGGGCCCTTGGTTGTGCATGTTTTTTGGGACTAAATGGGAGGTGGGACAGTGTAATGTCACAATGTGACATCTCTGCTTTCTTTCTTGGTCATAACTTTGTGAGAAGACATTTTGGAAGGTCGCAGGTTCAACTCCCGATGAGGTCATTGGATTTTCTTCAGTTGACCTAATCCTTCTAGCTGCACTATGGCCCTGGGGTTGACTCAGCCTCTAACAGAAATGAGTACCAGGAATTAATTAAATAATTTTCCTGGGGAGTAAAGCACAGCTGGTGCGCAGGGCTGACAACCTTACTGCCATCTTTGAGCCAATTATCTAGATAATGTGGGAGCCTCAATGTCTGACAACCCTATGGGCCTTCACGACCTGGTATAGGGATAGCTTTACTTTTTTCAGGTTTTGTGGAAATCAATCAACTGGTCCATGGGCCTACCGTGAAAGTAGTCATCAACAGTTGATTCAACACCTCTACAACTTTTGGATGTGGTTGTGGTGGTGGTGACTTTGTTTTAGCATCTGGCCGAGGCGATCGTGGTCCATATGCTGGTGACCTGTCAACATATTTCAAAGCATTACAGAAACTGAAGCAAGATAATTAACTGACATATAACCCCCACACACAAAGGCAGGCCTACTAGGAATAATTGTAATACTCAATTCTCAAAATCTGTTCAAATTCTCATCTTGACCTTGTCTTGAACTGAAAAAAGAAAGTTGTTTTCACACGTGCCTACAAATCAAAGCAAACAAGACAAGCAGGGAATGACGTCATAATGGAGAGAAGAGAGCTGTATATGAAGCTCTGATAGGAAATATTGAAAATAGATAAGTTTGAAGACATATGCAAAATGAGAGATTAACATTAGAATACATTTTAAAGAAACAGGACGAAAGGGTGTGCACTGGGTTCATCTGGCTCAGAACAGGGACCAGTGGCTGGGTCTTGCAAACGTGGTAACGAATCTCCACGTTCCATAGGATGCTGTGAATTTCTTGAGTAGATGATTAGCTTCCCAAAAAGGGGCTCATCTCCATGCAGTTATTAGTCTTTTAAATCCAGTTAAGGTAAAAAAGACAAGCTGTCCCTGTGCTTAATTAATTAAGCACTATGCAATGAAGGCGCATGGGGGAGTGGACATATATATATCCACACCTTCTTGACCTCAACACTAGCTGGAGGAGAGTGGTCAGCTTCATATCCAGGCTGCTTTACACCCAGGAAATGAATCCCCGGTACCCACTGGATAGAGAGTTGTGTGGACCCCAGAGCTGGTCTGGGCAACATGGAGAGGAAAGTATTCTCAAGGTCTCAAACACCTTCACCTTGGCCATCCAGCTCATAGCCAGTCACCATACCAACTTTGCTATCCTGGCTCTTATATCTTCATGGTATAGTGCTTAAATAATTAAAAACAGGGACAACTTTATCTTTTACCTACTCTAACAATACGCTGTGCTGATATACAAGGTTCTCACATCAGCATAAAGGTTACACAGTGTTCTGGGATATGATGGTACAGTACATTGCAAACCCATCTACCAAACAGCACAGCATCATATCCAAGAAAACAATAACCTTCACCAGCTGCAGTGTTCAGAGCATGACGAATGTCTGTTATGTTCAAAACCTGATGGAGGAACCAGTATCCATACACATAAATTTTTTCTTTTGGCAGTGAATGCATTAATACAATAAATATATGAGACATACTTTCCCAGACACTCATAATTGCGGAGTGTCACAAACACAAGAGCTGGATGTAAGTTCGATTCAGCAATAGCAGACTGGTTATTCAGAGCATCCAATACTTTGGCCACAATGGGTCGATTTCCCTTGAGAAGCCACAGCCGTCCAAGTCTCCTGAGGTTCTGCAGTAGCACTCCCAGAGGAAGGTGTGGTATAAGTGCAGTCCACACCTGATGATAAAAGGAAATAAAATAAATGCAGCTGAAGTTGATTCTGATGATGGCGTGTAACACACACTCGTAGTATTACTGAGTTTTTGGACCTCGTCCGACAGCTGCTAGTCTAAAGAACATGGCAATTTAGAATGCGCATCTGTTTCCATCTTCAGGTGAAAAGGTGGAAAGGCAACGACTCTTGTTTCTATTAGAAAGAGCAATCTGTATTCCCTACAAAACAGACAAAATACACTGTAAAATGAGGAACTGGCCAAACAATTAATGTCAAAACTACACTACATCTATACCGGGCCTCCACGCAGTTTACTATATGTATACAAGTCTTGAATATACTGCTGTATGTCCACTGGAATATAACCAAATTGCAACAACTGACTTGATGATACGCAATATCACATGAAGAGTTTTTAACAATCTTTTATTCCATAACTTTCATTTTATAATAATTTTATAATTCATTGTATTTTTATATCTTGTATTTTATAATGTAACAGCTGTCAAGTATCCAGCTTTACTGTCACAACGAAATTGCAGTTCAATAGTGTGTGAATATAGTAATCATGTGTTTTGCCTGATGATGGCTTTAAAAGCCGGAACATATAGATAAGATAACGTTGACCTTGACCATTATGTGGTTGTGTTATGACGGACTCCAATAAAGAATTGTATACACAAGTAATAACACAACAGGATGCATGAAATGAAAAAAATAATAAATAAATATAATTTCTTGGACCCAAATGCTGTGTAAGCAGCCATGTGTTCCAAACTTCCTGTACCTCCTTTGATTTGAGGAAGTGGCCAGGGACGTGCTCAAGCAGAAGGGAGTGCATCTCTATGAGTCTTGCAGCATGGTGTTCATCATCGCAATGCTTAAAATCCTCAATTGTCTGCAGATAGGACATCACTTGCTGTGCCTCCGGTTTATCCCCAAAATCCTTCTTTGCTTCTTTCAGGCCATGGACAACATACCTCAACACTGCAGCTATTGCTGAAACCACAGGTCACATAAGACAATGTACTTTACTTCAGAATCCAAAGAGTTCAGACTTCAGAGGTTGCAAAGACTTTCATAATGACTTCCCTAACTTCTCACACACTTCCAGTTTTCAAACTTATAAAATGGAAAGCAGGTCCAAATTTTGATGTGATATTGAAAAATGAAAAATGTACTTGGTTATGAGACCAAAAGAAGTGTCTTTTTTATGACTTATTTAATAATGCTTTTGAGAACAGGGTGCTGAGAATATTTGGACTGAAGAGAGATGAAGTGACAGGAGGTTGGAGAAAACTGCATAATGAGGAGCTTCATAACTTGTACTCTTTACAAAATATAATCAGAAGGTCTGTACTGTTCTACTGAACAGGCTGACTTCTCTGCCACAGTTTAGGCATCAAACAATTCTCCCCTTGTAGGTAGTTAATTCATTATTTGTCTGTATATCTGATAAAATTCCATTCTTTACACATGCCTTGTCAAATTCCTTCTACTATTCCTAATTTTATTACATATATTGAGTAAGTTTAATATCTAATTACTGTAATCGTAACTTGAACTTTTATTTTACATTCTGACACATTTCCGAGAAATGTAATCTCAATGTTATATTTTAGCGTCCTGCTACACTGATTCATCTGGATCCAGCAGTACAACACATGCAGTAACAGGAGCAAAACACAACACAGAACACGATACACAAATATATGTAGGAAGAATGCTCACATAAAAGAGGATTGGTGTAATTTGCGTGTTTGAGTGCAACGTAGGAAGAATCCTGAAAAGTTTTATTATTTAGAATTCATCGTCCTACATGACGAATACAGATTTTAGTCACTTCAGAATGAAGACATTATGGCATGCAGTACAATAGTTTAACGTGCATAAAGACATCTGAAGATGGCACATTAGTGCTGAAACATGTAGTGTGGAAGTGAAGAATAAGGTGAAAAAGTCTATACACTGTAAGACGGTCAGCATAAACCATGGACAAAATGTAATCTCTTTAGTCATGTGGACCTAAGTACTGAGCTGTTTCTGTGCTGTATCTTTTTGTCTATTTTTGAATACAAAGTATCAAAGGATGCAGGTGCCTGTCAAGTAATGTACATGCACATCTGTATAATAGAGAGGGTTAAATAAACAAACAGATTAATACATTTATTGTGTTACAGGACCTTATCTATCATCCTGTTTTTATTTAAAGCACACCACGTTTCGGAGGCTGAATTCTGTCTCCAGTTTCAGGTGGAACCTACTCAGTTTGGTCCCATCGACAGAGCTAATCCCTATCTCTGGACACCAGCACCAGCATAAGATAGGATATATAAACCAAGAGAAGAATAAACCATCTGTGAGAGTTAAGACAAACATTAAAATCGTTAAAAAAATTCCACACATATGAGGCCTAGCACTTATGTCCATGAACTATTTCATGATTCTTTTTTATTCTGATAGTACTCTGATTTTAAGAACAGCTGTGAACTAGGGCACTGGCATAGGTGCTAGGCCTCACATGTGTGGAGCCTTTTTAATGTTTTCAATGTTTCTCTTAACTCTGGCAGATAGTTTATGCTGTGAATGGTTTATATGTCCTGTCTTGTGTTGGTGCTGGTGTGCACAGATAAGGATTAACTCTATTAGCTGGGCCCAAACTGAGTGGGTTCCACCTTAAAACAGAATCCAGTCCCTGAAAGGCTGTGTGCTTTAAATAAAAACAGGATGATGGATAATGTCTAGAAACAGAATAATTGTATTAATATACCATCGTCACAAACTTTTAAATCTTATGAACAGATTCATTATAAAATTAATGACTGCAAGGAATATGAAACACCAATTTCGTGACATGAGCCATCATTACCAACATCTGATGACTTTGGATGTGACAGCTTAATAACATCCCGATGTGTCCAACCATATTGACCACGGAATTTTGTTACACATTCACTCAGTTCCATTGGCTCTTTCCTCAGGTACCAATCAGTTACAACACGTCGCCAGCCACGACCCCAACCTGCAATGTGTGATAAATAAGAAGTGTTAAAAACTGTACTGTGAAACAGGTTTTATACATAGATGCAGCCAGATCACAAAGACCAGCATTTCATTAATGCTTATGGTGTAGAGGACATGACATTACATGCACATTCAACACTGTATCCATGCTGCATCTTCAGCATTACAAGTGTGGCATTTAGAAACATGCATATCACAAACCAATTTTCTGAATGAATGCATTAAAACTCACTGGCTATCTGTTTTTATCTGTGGAGACACTACCTGACAACATGCTTCAAGTCATTCCACCAACCCCAGTGGGAGGGACACATGATCTTTCTGAGAACTTTGATGAGTGCATTTGGGACCCTCAGCACAATCGACAAGGCCACAGACCACCAAATCACAGCAGATGCTGAAAGTGCTCCATGCAGTTATACGTGCATTCCTGGTTATTCCAATGTTCAAATTCATAGCCTGTAGTTCCTTTTCAGAAATAAAGCAAAAACTGAAACCCCAAAAGAAACAATGTATGGTGGAACCTTCTCCTTATCTGTCACCCCAATATCACATGTGGATGCTGGTTTCAGTATTGTCACATAGCATTTGCGTGACCATAAATGGGGTTTTGGACTGGATACTGGATTTACTGACCACTTACACACAAAACTCATGAGTACAAGCAATTACAGCACCATCACTAATCTCCACAATTCACAAATCACCACAGCACCCGCTAAGTTTTTCCCAGCCTGCTGTGTCTTCATCAGCTGTTCCCTGGTGATGGCTTCTATCAGTGGATATTCTTCAGCTTCCAGGCTCAAGTCCTCTCTGAATGACGGCTCCCTTCCAACTGCCTTTTCTTCCTCACAGATTCCCATACAGAACTGACTTGGTTGCCCCAACTGTCTTCCAAGTAACTTCTCGTATGCTAACCATTTCTGTGGGAATGTGTTCATGTCACCCAACAATGAGTTGCATAACCCTATTTATTAAGAATCTGCTGCCCTAGCAACGGGTCTACATGCTACCTTATGTTAACTATAACGAGGAATTTCAACACAAGAAATAATGAGACTGACTGAATGTTTAATAAAATATCATATCATGATTAAGGCTGATCCTGAAGAGAATATGTAATGTACATAAGTTGGTGTCAATTAACTCACAAGTCCAATCCCCACATAAGGAAAATGATAAACTTCAAACCATCTCGGTCTGCTTCCTATCAATGTCATCTATAGGAGAGTTTAGAAACTGCTGTATCTATCTGTGGGGATACCCTACATCTCACAGAGAGTAAAAATGGAATACACATGTGTTCCCAAACCATCTTCATAACATTAGGCAAGAGTTTAATACTGTCACATGTTAGAGTGACTCTTAACGGGCGTTCAGATTGGATTTACTGATTGCTTACAGGTCGTAATTATAAATAACTATAACACTATTGCTGATTTCCACACTTCACAAATCACTACACACTAAGTCTTCTTTAGCATGCAGTGTCTTCACTAGATGTCTCCTGGTAATGGCTTCTAACAGCAGAGATTCTCCAGCTTCATGTGCTCAAGTCCTCTCTTCACAGACTCCAGTAGAAAACTGCATTCTCTAACCTTGTCCATTGCTTATAACATTTCAGCACAGACCACATAGAAAACACAGCTTTTCTACTGTTGTGTTCATGTTGCTGCAGGAACATGTTTATCAAGCCACTGCCCAGAAACAGCCCTGGTATAGCTGCCCACATCTCATGGTCTTGCATAGCAATGGCTCTACACACTACTACAGATATTAAATCAATTTCTATATGATCTGTTTTCATTTACATATTTAAGAAAACAGCAAAAATTAGTCAGTACAGGGGATATTGCTCATCACTAGTTACTCAGCAGCAAAAGGTTAAATCTAACTTACCTGAGCTCTCATGAGCCAGATCATAAGCAAATTTGATGAACAGGAGAAAATCCTTTGGGGCTTTGCATACTGTCTTGACGGCATTGTAAGCTGCTACCCGCAGATTTTCACTTGTCTGTTGACGGGTACACAGTGCTAAAGCATACACCAATGACTGCGGATGAGCAGAATAACCATCACTGAATGCCTACAGAACAGAGAAAATTTAAGTTTCACCATTTCTTTGGTCTGGTATTTGTTTCAGAGTTACACCTTTTTGCAGTTCAGTGTTCATACCCACTTAGGGATAACAACTCAAAGTACAATTCAACAACACAATGCAAAAGGTTAATGGAGACTGTTTTAGGTACTATTGTGCAGATGACCAAACATGAACAGATATCTTATATTAACATTGTATTTATGTCATATTGTGTGTGAGAACTATTTATCATTATAGGCTCCATGAAACCAATTCCTGTACATCAGGTAAATCATTTTTATTCACATTCTATGTTTCCTGACAGCCCCCCACTGGGGGTAGGTCATATGTGTTATTTACAGTGTTACAGCCAGTTACAGTTGATGTGCAAACTTAAAATACTGTCACGAGTCTGGGTGTCCATAACAAACAATTAACAGATTACAGATCTGACAAAGCTGTTTTATTTGAGAAGTACGCCAGGTGGAACTACAGAAAATTATCACACACGATAATTATAACACTTTGTAACTGAGAACACACTCTAATGTTCCTTGTAACTACACCACATGAAGGCTGCTGTCGGTTCTTCTTTTGCTGATCACTGATCTGATCTCCGCCCTGGTCTTCTCACATACTGACATCTTCCTGTTGAATCTTCTTGGACAGTGTTCACTGCTCCCTATATAGGCTCAGCACACACCATCCATGCATTGCCTAGCAATGGACGCCCTATATTGTTGGATGCTCGTTGGTTGGAACATGTTTACATAATCGTCTCCTACAAACGGCTCAATCTGTCACATTGCTCCCTCCTTAAGGTTGTTCATCCTGCACAGCCTAACAGTGTATCACCTTTTTCTTCTTTCAAGGGCTGTATTTGCAATGTCTGCATTTGGCCTCGCCATCCTTCGCGTGGCTCTTTTTTTTTTTCTTTCTTGCAGCAACTTCTTTTCACCATTACTACCTCTCCAGATTGGGCTGCTTCTAGGAAATGAATACATAAACATATTCCAACCAATGAGCATTGAACAATATAGGACGTCTGTGGCTAGGCAACACATGGGTGGACACGCCTGACAATACGTGATATCCGTTGCTGATCTGCAATGTGTTTTCTGTGGGTGGTCCATGCCGAGCCTATATAGGGAGCAGTGAACACTGTTTGAGAATATTAAATGACTGATAAGAACCACAACTTCACAATCCACACTGTGTCACTCCTGATCTCACACACACTGGCCTGTTACCGTAGCAGCAGCAATTGCAAGGGAGGGGGGTGTCCTGCATAGCGCAAATATGTCACAATATATTATTATTAATAATTAATTAGTTTTTAGAACGTTGTTGGTTTATTTGGTCATGTATAAGTGATCTGTTTCATATCAAAGTATAATTTTGTATATTACTGTATTTATTTGTAATTAAAATTTTTGGCACTACCTATTGCTGTTGAATCACAGCAGAATATGATCTTCATTTGTGTGGTCTGAAAAATTAATTGTATGCTGGTTCTGGTACTGCGCGTTATTTTTGCATTTGCTTTCTCCTGTAGCAAAACTTCTTGCAAATGGTGTTGTCTCTTCAATGAGTGATTGTGTGGGTTTTATACAGTAGTATTTATATAATTTTTCAGGCTTTCATGACAGTGACTATTCAGACCATCATCTCCTGGGCTGTGACAACATCGGTCTTGTAGGAGGACACCAATGTTTTGGAGGAGGGTGCTAACCTCAGTTCTCAGGCTCATGATGGATGTGGAATGCTCCTCTGAAACATTGGTATCCATCCACAAGTTATATGATGATATAGCACAAAAGATCACACATAGAAATTTAAATATCCTGTCCCCAGCCCTATCTTGTTCAAAGGTAAATGGATGTTAGCAAAGTAATTCTATCTGGAGAACATTATATTTGAGCATCCTGTTGCATTGATGTACCACTCACTCATTCACCTCCATTTTTAATGCAACTTAAAACTGTTCATAATATCTCTTTAACTTAAAATAACATTAAAATCATCTCAACTGCTTTCGGCTTTACCTGGCCATCTTCAGGGAGTTGTCTGCTGTTTGAAAATTGCTGCACTGCATTAGATGCTACGTCAATATATTTCCATGCTACTGCATATCGTTGTTCACACTAAAATGCGTTTGTATGAGAATGAAACTCTCTCTCTCCGTTCCTTGTTATTTTCTTTCTTTGGCATCCATGTTGGTGCCCCCTTCATATGTATATTCTCACTAGCCGGCGAGAGACATTTTCATTCTCAAACAGACACATTTTAGAATGCAAGAGCATGGAAATATATTGACTTACGCTCTAGTGCAGTCCAACAGTTTTGAAAAGTGAATAACTGCCTGAAGATGGCCAAGTAAGGCCAAAACATGTAGCAACTGATGTGATTTTTAACGTTATTTTAAATTAAAGAGAGACTGTGAACAGTTTTAAGTTGCATTAATGACAGAGATGAAAAACTGAGTGATACTATCTGCAGAATATTAGTTCTACTATCCTCTAACAGAAGGCAAGACAACTGGTGCAACAGAACTGCTAGATGCTGATCCATCCACTGTTATTTCGTGTCAAATTGAGCTTCAAAACACCAATGGCAAAGCAAGAGTCATCCAAACCCATGCCAACATTTACATCTTACATGGAAAGGCAGGTGGAACTTTATCACTGCCTTGCCTTCTGCTAACTGAAGGTCAGTGCTTTGTTCCAACTTCTGTGCATGAAAGTAAGCTCGGCTACCATCTGCACAGGTCTTATGGGCATTAAAACTAAGGTAAAATAAGCATAAGCTATATACGTATATGAACAGCATAACAATGCACCTTCACAATGTGGGCTACTGGATCCGTCTCTTTCCCATCAGCAATCATTGCCTCTATGGAAGTCACATTATCCAGTAAAAAGTAGTTGTTTGTGTAACGATCACCTGGTTCATACAAAGCTGTCTCACGCCCATAATGGAGGAACCTTTTCAGTTTTACTTCTGCGGATGCCGATGTCATCGTCAGGAATTAGACCACGTGACACCGACAATGCAATAAATCTGCAAGAAGTTTAAAAAAACACTCTTATCAGTGTCTATGTAAGAAAAAGTAAGTAAATACATGATAAAACTAAGATAATTGCTTGCCAAAATAATGGTCTCTAATTCTCTTAACAATTGCTTAAGGATGGGAGCAAAAGATGAGAACACAAGAAGGTAGATTTGACTGGGTATTACACAGTTTCCTTTAGATAGCAGCAACATATACTGCATACTGAGAGTGTTTATGTATATTTTATGAAGTGCATTTTTAGCAAATTTCCACTGAAATTTCAACATATTTTATTAGAGTAGTAATAGTGTAAAGGAGGAACACAGCAGCACAGTTGGCTGAGGCACTATGCCACAGACTGGAAGGTCATGGGTTCAATTTCTGATGAGGTCATTTGATTTTTCAATTGACCTGATCCTTCCAGCAGCACTAGGGCCCTGGGGTCGAATAGGCCTCTAACAGAAATAAGTACCAGGGATCCTCCTGGGGGGTTAAGGGTGGTTGGTGCGTAAGGCTGACAACCTCATCACCATCTGTGAGCCAAATGTCTAGAAAATGTGGAAGCCTTGACATCTCACAACCCCATGGGCCTCCATGGCCTGTTACAGGGTCAGGTAGCTTAGCAATAGTATACAACTGACAAAAGCGCAGGCAAATGAGTATTAGGACAAACTTGAATATGCATTCATGGGGGCTGAATGAGTCAAAATACTGCCACAATATAGTGACTAGACATGAGGTTTGGATTCAGTGAACACTTATAAATCATTAACCACAAGTAATTATAATGCTCTCACTAATTCACACACTCTGCTTCTCACTACAGCACATGCTATATCTTCTATGTCTTCACTAGCTGTTGCCTGGTAATGGACCTGAACAATGTCCTGTTCTGCTCATGTCATTACTGGCTGCAGCATTTCAAATGGTTCCTCTACTGTTGTTTCTGTAACCACTGCTAAGGACACGTTCTGTTTACAGGCCACTGCATACCTACGGATCCTGTATAACTGCATCATCGTGTCTTTACTGTGCCCTAAACTAGCAACCGACAGTTTCTCCTGGTTTTCATGTCATAATACACATGCAATGGTATGACATTAAACAAGAAGTTCTGGGAAGAACTAACCACTTACTTTCCTTAGATATGATTTATATGATATGGACCACATAGAAAACGAAGCATCCAACAATTCCTCATTACTGCAGTAATGTCTTTACCAAGCCACTGCCTAGCAACAACTGGAGAATAGACACAGAGACTGATGGAGGGCTTTATACAATCTGCCATTGAGATGGGCTCAGGTACAATGATATACAATACCAAGTTTCATAAAGACTGGTTCAACCATTCAAAAGTTGATAGGGGGGAAACATAGGCAGCACAGTGATAACATAAGCTTACTGTTATTTTTATCAGCCTATTCTCCTAAAAGTGTGATGCCCATGCTGCTGTAAATACACTCCCCCTCTAACCTATGACTGCCTGAACCAATCTTTATGAAACTTAGTATGTATGTCATGGCACCTGAGCCCATCTCAATGACCTACTTCACAAATTCCTCCCTCAGTCTGTATGCATGTGTATCCTTCCACCATTGCTAGGCAATGGCTCAGTAAAGTGTATCCCTGGCTACCATGGCTAGGTAAAAATGTTACTGTGATTAGAGGATACACACACACAAAAAAAAAACTGTTCGACACACGTGTCTGTGGGTCTGTCTGTGTATCCCCCTATTATTGCTAGGTACCAACCTTGTAATGACATTCCCATGGTAATACAGAAATGTTGGAGGTGTCCATGTCCTATCCTAGGAAAGAAGGCAATTAGTTCTTCCCAGAACTTCTTATTTCAAAATAAGGAAAGCAGGCAAAGAGAAGCAATGAAAAGCATCTCATATATTCCTCATATATATATTTGGCAGAGCAAAGCCACTACTTGTACAGATGACAAAAATTTATTTAAAATGAGTCAAGTCATTTTTGAGTAAACTGACATTTCACACTTTGGGCCACTAGAGGATGTACCATTATTATTCTGAAGATAACGCCTCTGCAGTTTCATTCATTGAGATGGTTCCCATAAATCAGTTGAATTTAATCAAAAGCATGGGAGCCATTTTGAAGATATTTGAAATTTTAATTTGGAGCTAAAATTTTCACATTCACTGTGCACCAACCCATGTTGCATAAACTCTTTAATACCATTCAGACACTAGTAAAGCCCCCCTTTCCAAAAACATTAAAATTAAATAAAAAAATGTACTTCTATTTTTATCCAAATGTACTTAACTGCTATATTTTAACACATTTTACTTATAACACACATTATTTGAGCCATACAGCATAGAAAAAACTTAAAATTAAAATTCAGATCAGAATATTTTTGACATATATAAGAAACAGATCCATTCTGATAATTCAGTAATGACATATATCCATAAAAACCACCTGATGATGTTCTTTGTAGATCAAAATATGTAGTGGGATGAAAATAAAACAACTCAAATGTTAAACAGTATAATATCACTTTATAATCCATTGTTGTGCTGATGGCCTCTACATATACCTACGCAATCTATATGCATTTCAGACTATTTCCATGCATACTAAATGCCCTTAACTTGTCATCTTAATAATATTCTGTAAGGATAAGAAATGATTAAGTTTCCCATTATGGCACTTTCTGCACCCTTCTGTTACTTCTGCTCTCATAGACACACACATTCTGTGTGACTAAGGCTACAGCTTATTTAAGATTTCATTGCCTGGGCAACAACTTTATGAAGCCAGGTGCTGAATGGTTGAAACAGAGGGGAATGCATAACAGATCACTGATCGTCGCAGTGCAAAGGCTGGTCTAGGCATCATTCTTTCATACTTCACCTCTCATGGATCCAAAATATTCTCAACCATATGCTTTTAAAAAGCCTTAATCTATGCTGTTCCCTTAGGGTCAATGGCCAAGCTTCACAACCATACAAGATAACAGATAAAATTATAGTTTCGATACGTCAATCATTGGGTCCTTTAATAGGGGACGAGAATCAAATGATTCTGAACTGAATGGTAACAAGCATTCCCCTAAATTAATCCGCTCATATCTACTTCCTGAATGTTATTTCGATTTACGTCATTCCGATATATTTTAATTATGCCCACAATGTCAATGAATTTATTAAGCCTCTTTAATTTTTTATCATGATTTTGTTCCAGCATTCTGCTGACGAGGCATGACGAAATAAATATAAAAATGGTACACGTGGTTTATTCTTCAGTGTAATAAATTTTTAAAGTTAACATATAATTCTGAGAGCACGAACGGGCTTATATTAGTTTAAATTTTTGTCAAATGCTCCATATCAAAATAACAAAGACCTTGAAATCAGTGCTGCAACAAGTTCATACGAACACTTGACCGAAGTACATTATACAGAAAACACAACCTTAATATAGTGTTTCTTTATAAAGATGCCACAAACCTTTATATATTTAATATTTCCTCTTCCTTATCTCCAAGATGTCAACACAAGACAATAAAGGCACGTTAATTATGGGTCAGTGTTACTACTCCAAAATAACGGGAAAGACAAAGAAAACTTAATCAATAAAATCAGTGTTTCGCCCTTAACTCTGAAAATGAAGCTATGCAGTCATTCACATTCAAAACTATTTTTATTAATTTGGTATCTAGTTTGATGTATAATAAATTCATGGAAATTCATAGTACTCTGTGCTTCTGTCTCCCAAACCAAGTCAATATTGCACTCACAGCCTGCTTGTGTACATGAACTACTATCATCTGGCTATGGCCCGTAAGAACGTTAAGAACAACATTACCACGATTACGACGACCTTAGATCTGCAACGTCTAAGTCTAAACATTCTGTAACACATTCCTTCTGTTTGTGGAGAGTATTCTTCACTGATCCGCGATCCGCACGGCATCACATTCTTGTCTACTCTTAAAAAAGAAATGTGGTCTGGCTCATATTCTGCAAATGGAACAAAATATTATATTTGTATTTGGACTTTACTTCTACATAGTATGTTCTTAAAACTTATAGTGTCAACTTTACATTTTTATTTAGTTCTTTTTCTGAGTGTTTCACTTAAAGTTTTAAGTATTTCTGAGATGCCGGTTATAAAAAATCATTGTGTTATACAAGGTTTATTTCGAATATTTAATATGTGGTTTTCTTAAAGAAAACAAGTTTTTAGAAAACTGCAAAACTTGGTAATATAAAACGATCATCATGGAACCAGAAAAGAAACTTGGTTCAAACGGCAACGCTGAGTTCACGGTAGGGTTCCAGTGCCATCTATACTTCATAAATTCCGGCCTCGTATCTCAATCGGAAATGACTCTCGTCTCATCCCTAGGGCCGGATTTTGATGACATGTCATCTTTTTTTCCTTGTATCCTATTCGACGCCCGTAAATATATAAAACCCGGCGATGAGCTGCTGGTTAGAGAAATGTAACTTTTCTAAGTATTTTTTCGGGTTTAAGGTTTTTTGTTATTTTAGGGAATTTTTCTTCATGTTATCAGAAATGTGAATGATATGCAAGTGTTCTTTCTTTCTCTTTCTCCTGCCTGTACAAAGGCAGCCTGCAACTGCACCTCAAATACTTGTTACCATAGTATGTAATAATGCCCCATCCTTTCAGTTCGTCTTGCGGAAAGTGTTGACATTACAAGTCATAAAACATTTTAATCTGGCAGCAGGGTATGACAGCGGTCACTCACAATGCGGCTTTTTCAAAGTCCTGTGCAAAGGAATTTGCTTAGTTACAAACATTTCTAGTCAGAATCCCTCGCGTTTTATGACATACTGTTGCTTAATGAAACTCCTTCTGTCTTCAGTTTCTTGCCCTTGATCATACAGACAAAGATACAGTTGACAAAAGGTTCTGAGTGTGAAAAGTTCAGTCCTGTGTTGCATTAGTGATTCATTTTATCACGATGCCTAAAGCAAAGCCATCTAAATCGTGTCATTTAAAGCAGATTGTAGCTGAATTTGGAGATGATATATTTTCAATTGACAGTAACATTATGACACAAAATTAGCGGCAAAAAATGTTTCATGGTACAACATATAGGTCACAGCAAGCATATACAAGCAGTGCAAATTTCAAACAAAAAGAAATCTGTGCAAATGTCCATAAGTAGATGAAATTATCAAGGATCATCAGTGTGCATTTTGATGTAACAGATAAACTACTGATCAGATCTTTTGCATTTGTCAGATACTGGAGAAAAAACGAGACAGTATATCAGTTACTTGTAGACTTCAAGAAAGTCTACGATTCAGTTAGGAGGGAAGTATTATACAATATTCTGATAGAGTTTAGGGTACCCATGAAACTAGTTAGGCTGATTAAAACGTGTTTAAATGAAACATATAATATTATAAGTCCATATAGGTAAACATTTGTCTGATAATATTCCTATCCAGAATGGTCTAACACATGGAGATGCTCTATCTGCCCTGCTTTTCAACTTCGCTTCAGAATATACCATTAGGAAGGCCCAGGAAAACCTGGTGGGACTAAAATTAAATGTGATAAATCAGCTGTTGGTCTATGCTGACAATGTGAATCTACTGGGCGATAAGATAGATACCATAAAGAAACACAAAAACTTTAACTGATGCTAGTAAGAAGGTTGGTCTAGAAGTAAACACGGAGAAAACTAAGTATAGGTTGCTGTCTTGTCACTTAAATGCAGGGCAAAATCATAACACAAAGATAGGTAAGGATGTTTTGAAAATGTGGCACAGTTCAGATACTTGGGAACGATAACAAACCAAAACCTGATTCGGGAGGAAATTAAGAGGAGACTGAATTTTGGTACTGCTTGCTAACATTCAGTCCAGAAGCTTTCGTCTTCTCATCTGCTGCCTAAAAACATAAAAATAGAATATACAAAACTATAATTCTGCCTGGGGTTCTGTATGGGTTTGAAACTTGGTCTCTTGACATTAAGGAACACAGACTGAGGGTATTCAAGAACAGGGTGTTGAGGAAAATATTTAGAACAAAAAAGAGATGAAGTGAAGGGAGGTTGGAGTAAACTGCACAAAAAGAATGAAAAGAGCAGGGCATATAGCACAAACAGGGCAGAAGAAGAATGCAGGTAGGATATTGGTGGGAAAGCTGGAAGGAAAGAGACCACTCCGAAGACCAAGGCACAGGCGGGCGGACAATATCAAGATGGATCGAGAGATAGGATGGAAAGGTATGGATTGGATTGATCTGGCTCAGGATAGGGACCAGTGAAGGGCTCTTTTAAACATGGTAATGAACCTTCGGGTTCCATAAAGTGCTGGGAAGTATGATGTTCTATTAGAGCCATATGATTGAAATAATGGACCCATTTTAGATAGACAATTCAACAGTGACAGGTATACATATCAAATACCACCTGATGATCTTTCAGACTGAAAAATGTAGTGGATATATGCAGGGCGTCCATGAGGAAAGGCCAATATTCTAGGTCATAGTATCAATCCTTCTAAGCAAAGAAAGTGTACACACGGTATGTCCTGGATCCGTTAGAACTCTTTTTTTTTATATTTTGCCATGCAATGTCATCTGTTGGCAAGTTGTGGCGTTAAAATTCTTGAAGTTTCAGCTGTGGCTGTCTATAATTTCAAAGTGCAAGCATCACTGCACAATGTGTTCTGACCTTCAATGTAACACTACTGTTCTGATGCTCATCAGAAAATGGTGGTTGAACAGAGAGCCAACATCAAATACTGAACTTAGGCAACACAGCTGAAGAAGTGTATGAAATGATGAAGTGTGTATGGTAGTGACTGTTAAGAGTTGCATTTCGTGACAGCAGGGAGGACGTGCATCAAAGCCGAGAACAATTTGCAGTGAAGAAAATGTGAAAAAAGTAACCAAAATCCTTGCATCAGACAGATGGAAATACCAAAAAGTACTGTGCATCAAATTTTGACTGAGGATTTGGGCAAACAGAAGATCTGTGTGCGGTTTGTACCGCACCCGCTGTCAGGGGATGAAAAACATGTCAAAGTGGAACACTGCAAAGACACGTTACAGTCGCCCCAAAGTGATACAAAATTAGAAAATGACTGTTACTTGTGACGAGACATGGTGTTTTTAATATGAGCCTCTGACAAAGTGGCAGAGTGCACTGTGGTTGAGCCCAAAGAAGCTGAAACCTAAGAAAGTGCGCATGCAAAAGAGTCAAGCAAAAACACTGCTAACCGTTTTCTTTGATTCCAAAGGAATCATTCACAAGGAATTTCTGCCAGAAGGTCAAACAGTGAATTCTCACTATCTCGGAGTCCTCAATTGTTTGTGGGCGAGAATTCTTCAAATTCGACCTGAATATCGAGAGTAAGGTCCCTGGTCGCTCCTTGACAATGCCCCACTCCACAAATCGAAGATCGTGCGTGACTTTTTTTGGCCAGAAAAGGGATCATAGTCCTTGATCATCCTCCGCATTTGCCAGATCTGACTTAAGCAGATTTCTGGTTGTTCCAAAAAGTTAAGTTGGCGATGAAGTGAGATTGTCACGACACCATCCAGGACATCCAAATGGAATGTACTGCTGTTTTAAATGTGATTCCACAAAAGGAGTACAGTGACTGACTTCAAAAACTTTTCAATCAATTCCAGCTATGTATTGATTCAGAAGACTACTTTGAATAAAAAGAGTGAAATTTTGAAAATAATTCACATCTTGTATTTTTAATGAACACAGTCCTAAGAGAACCTCTGACACACTGTGAATGCACGTGTCCTATTCTGAATGGTTTCCGAGATAAGAGCTACTTCACTGCAGTGTGTACAGACGAGCAACATGCTGTGTCCTGATACGAGCTGCAAAGTGCACTGATGTTGATGGTGGAATTTTCTAAAATGTATTATACTTGGTAAACTGTACCAACTTTTGTCACTTGAAGAATAAATACAGGTTAAGAAGATTGCTTGTAATGACAGAATTATTGCTCTGAAGTTAAAGGCGGAACCGGTAGATATACTGATTATACAAGTGTACATGCCAACATCAGAGTCTGAAGAGAATGAAGTGGAAAAAGTGTATGACACAATTGAAGAAATTCTTCAGGAAGATGGAAGAGGAGACACAAACAGCATCATATTGGGAGACTGGAACAGCATTGTTGGAGATGAACCATATCAGAATATTGTTGGATCACATGGACTAGGAAGACGGAATCACAGAGGTCAAATGCTTATTGACTTTTGTGAACGAAATGGATTGATTGTTACCAACACTTGGTTCAAGAAGCCAAAGAGAAGAATTTACACATGGAAGGCACCTGGGGATTGGA